GGAGACAAACAAATGCTTTCTCTCACTGGGAGGAAAACTGAGGCACAAAGACACTTAGCCCTTATTTTTGGATTGGCACAGGATGTTAGTAGGAATTTGGCACCAGATATCTCTTTTACTGCCTTTCATTCTGTACTGCACTAGTTCCTGATGCAGGGGAGAGCTCAGAGCTGAACAAAAAAAATTTGGGAGAGGCAGGCATTTGATTTTTTGTTTTTGAAATGGCATTTTGAAGTCAGGTCCCTGCTGCAGCACTAACAATAGGGGCTGGTCAAGAGTCTTTCAGTAAAAGACCTTTTCCTCCCCTTCCGATGAATGCTTGTTCATTAAAACTGAAGCTTTTTGTGGGAACTCCATGGGAAAAGTTTCTCTGGTCCAGATGGAATTTCTGGTCAAAAGAAGAGAGAGAGGGAAAGAGAAGCAAATCCGCCCTGCTCAGGAGTAGCCCATGGCTCTGGGGTTAGGCTATTCCCATAGGTTCAGTAGGGCTGGGGAGAAGCGCAGTGGGAGGTTATGCCCTCAGATTTGGAAGGAGGACTCCTAAGGATGTAGGGATCTCTCCAAGGTGGTTGGTTTTGGTGTCATAGTTAGTCTTTTTTTTTTTTTTTAAATAAGAAAAAAACAAACATGTACAGAAGAACAATATTGAAAAAAGAATCAGCTGTGGTTGGGTGGGAAATCTTCCCTGTGTCCCACCCTAACCATCCTCAGCATCCTTGCAGCCCCGGTGCTTGGTGTTTGGTCCTTTGGTTCTGCCAGCAGCGAGAGTTGTTACACATCAGGAGAGCAACCAGGGAAGGCTGCCTGGTTCCCAGAGCAGTGCTTTGCCTGCGTCCAGCCCCACAAGCTGAGCATGAGAGCTGTGGAGCCCAAGCCTTTGGTCAGAGGCTGCTAGACGCCCTCCCTTCTCAACTTTGCAAGGTAAACAAACACCCCATCTCTTTAATAAGCATCTCGTTTATTAGACAGTCAGATGAGTCCCTTACCTCATCCATCATTTTTATTTTTATTGTGCAGGCACTAGATGTGTGTTTGAGTGCGTATACTTAAGGGACCAGGAATGAGAGACCTTTTTATGAATCTGACCACGTATTTCTCAGAAGGCCATTACTAGGGGAAAATAGTTGCATAAATAATGTACAACTGCAGATGTCCAAACCCTGCTTTCCTGCAATAGCTCATGGCTTCAGAGACGCTACTTTTAAACATGTTTTAAGGAGTGTTAGAAGCAGTGAGGAGTAAGAAGTAACTCAAAGTTAGCATTTTAGAGCTGAAAAGTTAAAGTAAAATGTTAATTTCTGCCAGTGATACTCTCTTTTGTGTGTGCATGCACACCTCATCTTTTTGTGCTGTCACTGAATTTGTTGTAACCTGGATTTGCTGTCACTGAAAGGTTTTGCTACCCAGCACCTGCAAGCTGGCAACTGTTACTCAGCGTCTACACTGATGGCTGTCATAATTCAAAGCAGAGATGGCAGAAAATAAAGGAAGGCTGTTTATCACTCACTGATTTTCTGTCTTAAATATTCGTCTCTCCCTAAATGTTTAATATAGGGAAAGGAGGAAAGCCTTTTCTCTGGGTCTTTGTCTGCAACCTCCATTAACTGAAACAGGGAATGGGCTTTTAAGTACCCTACCCATGCAATAAAGATATGCTTCTTTTTGAGATGACACTTTAATTTCATAGCTGGCATTAAACCTTAAAATTAAAAACCTTAAAAAGCTTAGCCGTAGGCTTTCCCTATCCTCCATAAACTTGGCCTTGGCAGCAACAGCGAAGTTTCCAGTAAGCCACCAGACTGGAACAGGCTGACTTGAGTGTGCTGGAGCTGGAATAGCATCTGATGGTCCCTTTGTTACCAGAGAGGCTGTCCTGCAGGGTCACGCTGCATGTGGTTCATGCCAGGCCCCATACTAATGCAAGGGAAGATGATGGTATGGATTTCCCAGCTGATTTTGCTGGCTGTTGGAATATACATCAGTTATTAATATTCATGTTTGTTTTGAAGGGAATTAAGAGCTGTTAGTGATAGCTTGGAGGAAAGAGCCTCTCCAGGGGCTGGTGCTAGTTAATACTCTCTTCTGCCTATTAGACATATGGCACCCAAGGAACTTTCCACAAGTCTGCTGTCAGAGCCACCATTTAATGTCAGTGTAATTGCTGCTTTGATCCCTTCTAGCTCAGGGAAGATAAAGTTGATCAGGAAAAGGTTCAGAGGAGGAGCAACTGGATCAGCTGGGACTGTTCAGCCTGTAAGAGGTGAAGTAGGAATCCATAAAGTAATGAGAGGCAGTGAGGGAGCGACTGCAGAGTGATTATTCACTGGCTCATCCTTCGGAAGAACTAGGGTAGGAAAACAAAACTGGTTGGAGCCAGGTTTAGATCCCACCAAAGTATGTGCTGTGTTCTACACACAACATGTAGTTGAGCCAAACACTCGCTGCAGGGTGTTGTAGTCAATAAAAGTTTACGAGGAGGGATATGGCAAACTGGTGGAAGTGCAAAGCCATTACTACTTACTGAATGCAAAGTCCTTCTGTTTCTGCAAGTTTCTTACCCATAAGCGGTTGAGACTGGAAGAATACAGGGGGAAATTAAGTATATGCTTGTCCTAGTTCTCTGTTCTCTAAGTATCTGCTTTTGGCCACGAATGAAGATCAGACAGACAAGTTGGGCCTTTGTTTTACCACGGTATGGCTCTTTTGTGTTCTTTAGGGTGCAATGGAATAGATGGGACTTGCATTTTTATATCTGCTTAATATCAGCTGAACAAAACCTGCAAGATTTTGTCCTCACATGCGCACTTGGCAATTTTTGTCCAGAGATTTTCGTAGCACTGGTTTTGCAAGACTCAAAAGACCTGAGAGATCTTGGTTTGGGTTTGTGCACTCAGGAAGCTTTGGGGATTTAGATCGAAAAATTCCCGGAATGTAGTTCTGTCCAGTAGGCGTTTGTTTTGTTTTGCTTCTTATATAAAACGATGACAGGCAGGGAATTCTGGCCCTGGCTGTGCTTCGACAAGCTGCATGAATGCTCCTCCTCACCTGCGGCCCGAGGTGCAGATCGCTGCCGGGCAGCCCGCGGGGCCCCCCGTGATGTAAGTGGCTCGCAGGGAGCCTGCAGCCCTCTGCTCAATGGCCTCTCTGTCCACATGCAGCCTGGGAGCAGTCACGGGGCCTGTTTTTTTCAGATGTGAAATCTGTCAGCAAAGTGAAGTCAGCTTAAATATCAGCTGAGGCTCGAGCTGCCTTTCGGTTTTTGTTGACTTTATCCCCCTCCTGCTCCCTCCCGATCGAGTTTCTCTCTGCTTGAGTCAGACTTGCCGACACTTAAAAGTTGGCGTTCTGTGTTTCGGTTGTGGGGGTTTGTGTGTGGCAGGCTAGGCTAGTAGAAGGAACCATCTGGGTCTTGAGGCTCCTTTTGGTAGGTGCTGCGGTTCACTCAGAAACCAGCAGCAGTGCGGCCGGTACCCAAAGCACACTGTAATGGGGGAGATGCTGCATTTTGTGTGCTCCACCTGCTGCTACCAAGCTGAAGGGTGCAAGCAGTGAAACATCACCCTGCATGTTCCCCACACGCAGAACTAAAGCTCCTCTCTGTCCTCCCACAATTTGTCACCAAAATATAAGGCATAACCGATGGGGGTGCAGGCAGGCAGGCAAAATACAGGGGGACAGCAAGCGCTGTTGTTTCTGTACCCAGCCTGTCCCGGAGCAGGGTGCTCAGGTAATGCTGTGGCTGCAGGTTTGGGATGAGCCCCTGGCATCAATGCCTGTCAGTGCTGAAACATTTTGTGTATTGAAAGCTGGAGTTGGTTCCCGGTTTTGACTTTTTAAAGAGAAAAAATGGAGTAAACTGCAAGGGAGGGGAAAGCTAGGGAAGGAGAGAACTTCTGTTCCCACTTGTGGTTTTCATTGCTCTCTTAAGGATAACACTTAGCACTTGTGTTGTCTAGTTTTTGTTTTGTTTTGTTTTGTTGTTGTTCTGTTTTTAGCCCAAGCTTCATGTTTTAATTCTGTGATCATCAGCTTTGACTGCTTTTCTCTCTTACGTGCATGATTTTTTCCTCTCACTACCTTTGGTGGTTTCCAAGGCTGAAGTTATTTTCCTACTCTTCAAAAGGCCAGAATATTTGAAGACTTCCAATTGAGAACTTCTGGCTGTTGAGGCAAATAGATCTTAGTATCCTACGGATACTCTGTGCATCTATAATCCCTTTAATATCTGGCCCACACAAGAGGCAGCAGCAGGGCACCTCTCCACACTTCACTCCTTTGCAGCTGGTGTAAAAGAAACAGCATTAGGGCTGAAGGTGTTGGGCACCAGGTTTGGTGATTGTCATCTCTGTACTCTGTTCTCTAGTTGATGATGTCCTTGGAAATATCCTTTCCTGTGGAATTAGCTGCTGAGGTGTAGGGTCCTACCTACCTCAGGGTGGATTGTTAAGAAGATGGTGTTGGTTGGGTGTCCTTGACTTTCCAAGCGGGAACCATGGTGGAGTGTGCTGGAGAGGTGCTGGCAGTGTGAGGCGAATGGGATATCCCATTCCGTACCCCTCTGGTGCACTGTGTTCTGGATAAATTGGTGTTAAAATGGTACCATTCTGCTCTCTTGGGCTCGTGCTGGAGGAATGCTATTGAGAAAGAAGAGTGCACGCATTCTGGAGGAAGAGATGGTTGGGAGTAGGGCAGGCCAAAAACCTGGGTGAACAGGAATGGTTTTCTTGCTCTCCCTGGCTTGCTGGACTTGTAGCTGTCAATGTCTATAGTCTATAATCTCTAATCTTGTAGCATTATAATTGATTGTAGGAAGAAGTTCTCAACCCTCAAGTCTCTCACTCCCTAGGGTGTAGGGATGTAGGCGTACTGGTGTTCACTGGGAAGAAAACACACAAAGATCTCCTGTTGTGAAGGGTATCCCTGACTTGCTGAGCTGAGGAAGGTGATCTTGATTTGACTTTATTTCTCTGTTCCCTTCCAACCTCCCTCTTGTCTTCTAGAGAAAGTTCACTCCTGCGACCAGGAAAGGCAGAGCGCTCTGGAGGAGGCCAGGCAGAACCCCCGTGAGGGTATCGTCATCCCCGAGTGTGCTCCGGGAGGGCTCTACAAACCAGTGCAGTGCCACCAGTCAACTGGGTACTGCTGGTGTGTCCTGGTGGACACAGGACGCCCTCTGCCTGGTACTTCCACTCGGTAAGAGCTGTAAGCCTGGTGAGATGCCTGTCTGGAGGAGATGAGATGTGAAGAAAATGGTGTTAATGTACCAGATAAGTTCCTACATCTAGAGCAGTGAGCTCTGTGCTGCTGCCTTCCCTAGAGCTACCAATGCCTTATGTGATGCATTGATGTTGTTGAGTATCCTCAACTTATCCTTTTCACTTAAGTATCCCGCAAAATAGCTTTTTGTTTTGCAGCTTTTTTTGTGGTAGCAGGAATCAGTCATCTGCTCAAAGCACAGGTCATGTGTATGAGCTGTGAGAAGTGTCTGTGTTATGTTATGCTGTGCTTTATATTTCTGTGCTTATATTTCAGCTGTTTAAATCCTGACCAGAATAGATTAAATGGCTTCTGAGTTGTGCATTAACAGATTTTAAGCAAAGGGTAGATTTGATCTTTTTGCTGCTGTGTGTCTTAAAACTACCCAGGGAGTATTTTTTCACTTGGGATTCAGAAATAAATTGCCACTCTGGAAACCTATAAAAATGATCCAGTAGGGGCTGGGGCCTAAACAGTGATTGTGCAGAACATGGACGGTTCTAGAAAAAAAAAGCACACTCTGTGCCCACAATAGTTAGAAGAAGGCCTTGTGCTATTTGTGGGTTTGAGTTGTTACTGGATTGTGGAGTATGCTCCCACTCTCTCCATGTCCTGGTGCTGCTGCTGACTGTCCATAAGCAGACAGATGCTTGAGAAGAGCATTTCTTCTGCAGGCTTGTTTCTCCTGTAATGAGCAGGTTAGATGACCCCTTAGCAAGCACCTGATAAAGCTATATCACATAGTTCAGCATCTGCTGTTCTTCTTTTTCAGCTATGAGACCCCAGTGTGTGAAAGTGATGCCAGATCGAAGAGCACAGAGGTTGATGATCCCTTCAAGGACAGAGAACTTCCAGGTTAGTGAGGAACAAAATCCTGCCTCTGGCTTCTCTGCTCATCTCATCTTGGGACTCTCCAGAGGCCGAGAAGACTCTTGTTGAGATGGGGGATTTCCTTCACTGTGCTTGTTTTACCATGGGTTTTATTCTGTGCTGTTTTGGATAACTTGAAGAGGCTGGGAGTGTTCTTGGGGCTGGTTTATTGCCTATCTGCCCTTCCTTTAAAACATGTCTGAGATCAGAATTGTAGGGTGGTGGCGGGGGGAAGGTTGCCTGGAGGTTCCCTGAGGAAAGAATGTGCTTGGCATTTAAAACTTTTTTTTCTTTTTTTTTCCAAACTGCAGCCAGGACAGTATCCTTTCCATTTAGCATGGCTTTTCAGCAGCTTGATGGCCATCTAAGCAATAGTGGAGGCCACAGATATCAATTGTCAGTGGACCAACTGGCTGCCTGACACTGCAGGGGCTGGCAGGACAGTATTTGTGGTGCACTAAGGTCACTGAATGCTGTGTGTTTATTTATCTGAACTAGATTCTTTGCTTTCTACTTGGGGCCTACTTTATCTCCCATTGCTGCTTGCTTTCTGTTCATCTTTCCCATCTTCACAAAATGACAACTCACAATTTACTGTTTGCATACCTTCTTTCTGTTAAGAAGAGGTGCTGGGTGTAAGTGTCTGAGCAGCTCTTAAAAATGCCATCCTACCTGCCTGTGCTCTGTTTTTTCTTCCCTCTGCCTTTGTAAGGAGCAGAGTGAGGAGCCCTCACAGAGATCAGCCATTGCTCTCCTGGGTGGGAAACAGCTGCTCAAAAACAGAAGCTACAGTGGGTCCCTTTCCACCATGAGGGAGCACTAGAGACCAGGAACTCCACAGAAAGAGCTGGTAGCACTTCTCTTTTCCTGGCTCTTTCTAGGACTAACATAAAGTGAATTATCCCTGAGCAGGTTAGCAAAGGAAATGAGATTTGTTCCAGATTTGCCTTCTGCATCTCCTAATTCTCCTCCTGCTGGCTCTTGACATTGGCCCCATAGCTCTCTGCTTAGCAGTGCTGCCCTCAGCAGGGCTCTCTACTATGCAGCTGCTCATTTTCACAAGTCATGTAGAAATTTCCTATATGCCTCCTTCTCACGTTTGAATGATATTAGCCAATTGGCTCAAGTATTACTTTGAGGGGTGAGGGAGGGAAACCAGCAGACCAGCTAAATGATTGCATTAAGGCTCATTTCCTTAGGAAATCATTGTAAAATAGAATAACCTTGGTTCCTTTCTTCTCCATCCCTTTCTTCCCTTGCTTTACTGCCTTTCCCTGCATTTCCCCTCTGCCTTCCCAGAATTCAGTGGAAATCCTTTACTTTGGGTTTCTTTCGTTGGGAGTCTCTGTCTGATCTCTCAGGAAGACAGAATGGTTTCTTCTTCCTTCTTCTGCACTGCAGCTGGACAGGGGCATAGGAACTACAAAAGGCACAAGAGGACATGTGTAGGATGCTCTGTAGCTTAGTGGTGTGGTCCCAGCATCAGACTGCAGGAGAGTTCCCCCCTCAGCTCAAGCCACTTTTCTTTACCTGAGTGCACTTCAGCTCTGTGCTCGGATGTATGGTTCCTGTCCCTGATGGTTCCCATCACTAGAAATATGATGGAGGAGATGGAGGAGGAGAATTAACAATCCTCGTTTGTCTGTCTGGAAGATGCTGTGCTCAGTCATCTTTTGACACAGACTTGAGGTTTGAAGGGACAAAAGGAAGACCCAGAGATCTGCAGGCCAGTCAGTCTCACCTCTTTGCCCAGCAAGATCATGGAGCAGATCCTCCTGGAAACTATGCTAAGGCACTTGGAAAATAAGGAGGTGACTGACAGCCAGATCACGCCTGGCAAATCTGGTGGCCTTCTACAATGGGATTACAGCAGTAGTGGGTATTGGAAGAGCAACTGGTATCATCTGCCTGAAAAAGTCAAAGCTTTTGACTCTATCCTCCATGATATCCTTGTCTCTAGATTGGAGAGACATGGATATGATGGATGGACCACTTGGTGGGTAAGGAATTGGCTGGATGGTCGCACTCAGAGTTGTGGTCCACAGCTCAGTGTCCAAGTGGAGACCAGTGACAAGTGGTGTTCCTCAGGTGTTGGTTTTGGGACCAGTGCTGTTGAACATCTTTGCTAGTGACATGGACAGTGGGATCGAGTACATCCTCAGTAAGTTTCCCAATGACACCAAGTTGTGTGGTATGGTTGACATGCTGGAGGGAAGGGATGCCACCCTACAGGGGACCTGGACAGGCTTGAGAGGTGGGCCTGTGTGAACCTCACGGAGTTCAACAGCGCCAAGTGTGAGGTCCTGCACCTGGGCTGTGGCAATCCCAAACATGAATACAGGCTGGGCAGAGAATGGACTGAGAGCAGCCCTGAGGAGAAGGACCTGGGGGTGTTGGTGGATGAGAAGCTCCACATGAGACGGCAATGTACAACTACAAAAGGGTAGATTTAGATTAGGTATTCAGAAGAAATTCTTTACTCAGGGGGTGATGAGGCACTGGAACAGGTTGTGCAGAGAAGCTGTGGATGCCTCACCCCTGTAAGTGCTCAAGGCCAGGCTGGATGGGGCTTGGAGCAACCTGGTCTGGTGGGAGGTGTCTCTGCCCATGGCAGGGGGGTTGGAATTAGATGATCTTTAAGGTCTCTTCCAACCCAAACCATTCTGTGATTCTGTGATTGATTAGCTATTCTTGTATGTAAAAATTCCCTAGTGAGTCAGAAGAGGCTAAGGTGAGACATGAGCACAAATTGTTACACACCTACATGTACCCCCTTCACAAACTGTGTCATGGCTGCTCTCACAAAAGCCAGAAGAAAGAAGGAAGGAACGTGTTGCTTGCACATAGCAAATGGCAAGCTGCTAATTCCTGCAGACGGTGAGATGCTGAGGCCCCAGGGAGATGACTTCTAGCAAATGGTTTTTCAACCTTCTCATTACTGCAACAAAAAGCTCCTTTAAGTGAGTGGTCTCCTCTGGCTGCCATAGCAGCTTACCCATTACAATGCTGACATTTTCTGGACCATGTGCCAAACGAGTGCCGAGGGGTGTGCGTGTGTGTAATACGCATAGTATGGAGACAGGCTAGGGACTGTTGGTTAGCTGTTGCAGAGAACAGAGCCTGTAATAGTGCAAAGGAGGGAGTTTTGTCAGATCAATTTGCAAGCTGCTTTCAGCTGTCAAGGGATTATAGTAGGTTTCTGCTGCTCTGTTTGGGGTACACTGTGCTTCTCTGCTTGCCTGGGAAAGGCAGAAAGTGTTAACATTGCTACTCGTTACTAAGGCGATACTGTTTTCTGGTAATGCTCTCCTAGGTGAATAATTGGTAGTAAACAGTGGTTTTGGGAAAGAGAAGTATGTGACACCAAAGCCATCACCACCTCACTTTAGAGAAGGCAGCAGAGTTGGGAGGTGATGGGTTTGGGACAGCGGCTCTGGAGGTGATGGGTAGAAGTAAAGTGTATTTGTTCTTTGGTGGGCTAGAGCAATTGTTACAGTATTAATATAGTAGTAAATGAAGCATGCTTTTCCTCCTTTAAAAAGCAAGAAAACTGCATAGCTTGCTTCATAAAGGTGAGGAGATGGAGATTTTTGTCTCAACTCTGTCATTGGAGGCTGACAGGAGACTCTGCCCTTCTGAGGTTATAGCAGAAGGGAACTGGATGGCCTCAGGACTAAGTCATGGAAATGGTTACCCAGCTTGTCTTCAGCCCACTTTGTCCAATTCCTGCCTAAACCAGCAGTGACTGGGGTCTGATGCCACGTGATGACTCGGTCTGACATAGTTCCCATGCAGCGTGGTCATGAAAAGAACTGAATTATTGTGGTAGCTCCCGGCAGGCAGCACTGTCTGTGCCTGAAGAGGAGAGTACAAGCAGCAGTGCTCATTTTGGCCCACGCTTTAAGAAACTTTAAGCTGTCAGTTAGGACCTCAGAACAGACGTGTTTTCAAAGGAAGATGACCCAGGAGGTAATGAGTTGTTTTGTAAACTTCTCTGCAAGTGTCACCATGGGAACTCCATCTGCCAGGCCCTTCCAGCACATCCCTGTGGTTATGCTGGTAGGGAACTGGGAGAGGCCGTCCAGCCAACCCCACGGCCTTCCTGCCAGATATTGTTGGTGACTGTGTGTGTGCTGGACAAAAGCTGCAGGACAAATTGCCATGCAGAGAAACCCACTGAGGGATTCTTTTGCCTTTCCTTAGGGCCTGTGATGATGGCTGCCACGTTACAAACAAATGAGGGGTTCTGGCTGATCCTTGCTGCAGTGCGTTAGGAGATCAGTCTTCTGTGATCTTGCATTGAACCTCCTCTTTTCTCTCTACAGGCTGCCCAGAAGGGAAGAAAGTTGAATTTATTACCAGCTTACTCGATGCTCTCACTACGGACATGGTACAGGCTATTAACTCAGCGGCACCTACTGGGGGTGGGAGGTGAGTCCGGAAAGCACTCGGGCTGAACCCACCAAGGTGGCTGCAGAGCTGTGGGTGCCCGTGAGATGGGGGAGGGAGGGAAGGGTGATGCTCTGAGCTGATTCCCACTGATCCAGATTGCTGGGAGATGAACTAATGCTGTGTCTTCAGAGGCTGCTCTGTCATGTCATGGTAGTCTGGGGTGCCTCCTCCCACCCCTCCTCCCTGGCAGCTGTTCCACCATAAAGGTTAGTATAGCCCATTTGAAGTGTGAAATGAGAGCTCAGTGGGAGGAAGTGGCTTGTTCTTTTGTCCCCTGGTGCATGAAAAGACCTAATAAAATGCAAATGGATTGAAGGAGGCCGTGTGGCCTAGTGGCTACCATGGGGAGTGAAGAATGTGAACAGAATCCTTGGCAGCACCAGCACTGCCGTTTTGCTGTGGGGCTGAAGCCAGTCTGCAGATGAGGAGAGAAGCTATTTTTCATGACCCTCCCCTCAGACCAGCTGCCTCTTCATCCCTCATGGAAGAAGCAGCAGGTCAGGCCTGTTGAAAGAGGTGGGCAGAAGTCTGCTTTCCTGGGGAACTGAAGAAAAGCTGAGGTCTTGTCTCCCCCTTCTGCTTGCTGATAGGAAATCCCCTTAGTGCAGCAGCTGCAATGCTGCAGCATGCCATGTCCACTGAGAACAGACTGCGGTTTGAAAAGAAGTGCTGTATTGCCTTGATTAGGCAAGACTTCTGTGGTTCTGGATTCCCCTGACTATAAAAGGGGACAGTGCTAGCTTAGCACGCAGGGATGCCACAATACATAATGTGCTCATGTTCATCCGGGTGTAGAGATGAAGGAGGTGCCTCTCTGCGTGTTACTTCCAACGTTTTGAGGGTGATATTGGTCTCTTGCTCTTCTCGTTCAAAATGCAGAAGGAAGAAGCAATGCCATGTTTAAATACTCCAGACAAAACCTTCCTGGGTGGCACCTTTGAGCCTCTTGTTTTCAGGATGGATTGCTTGTGAACCCATGTGTTTCTAACTTTGCATTTGGACCTTGCAAATTGGGCTAGTGGCTGAGTGCCTGCACACGGAATATTCTGTAACCTTTTGAATTAGCAGTATATGCCTAGCACGTCTGTATTCATATAAACAGGATGAAAAATGCCCCAAGGATGGGAAATACGTCGTTCTCTCCCAGCCATAAGCATTCCAATGTCAATTTTGTGTAATTTGCATGGTTCAAATGCAGTGGGTAGGGGTGGCAGGAAGCCCTGGAGAGTATTTGATATTTATTTGGCATCTTTGGCACAGGGACTGAAACCCAGCCAATGTAATCATCACTCTTAAAATAAAGCTTAATATAAACCAATATTGTAGAGACCAGAGATATATGCCCCCACTGTACTTCTATAAACCCAGCAGGCTTGCTTCCTAATGTTCCCCAAGCTTTGTGTATTTCTCAGCTTTGAATAGAGGCCTTTCTGGCAGAATTTTTCACTGCCCAGCTCTTCACACAGTCATCATGTTGATTTATTTTCAGCTCCAGTGTCGGCAGCCCAGTTGCAAGGGGAAAAAGAAATCTTTTAGCAGTCTGTCCTTTGTAAGGCGAGAGACTGCTACCACCCAAATATTCTGCCTGCCCACAGCCATGATTAAATTCGGGAAACTGCTCTGGCGTAAACTTCCGTGTGCATCAGTTAGGGTAGGTGCATAACCTAAAGAGTATGTGTCAAGATTTTCCATCCCACCGTGACATGATGAGACCATTTATTTTGGGGAAAAAAAAAAAAAAGAGGCATTTCAAGGAATTTTAGATACTTAAATAAAAATATAATCAGTACAGCTTTCATTTTGTGTGAGCTTGCAGATCTCAGAAGCTGTCCCTGTGCAATGAGTCCTGCTTTCCAAGTTTCCCAATGTGGGAAATGTCCAGAGTCTTCTCTTTAGGAACATCTGGAAGTTTACTGGGTGACCTAACTTCACTTTGGCACTAGAAATGAAAGCTCTTTTCCATGGGTATTTTGCCCATATGGCTAATCAACTCATTTCCAGGCTTAAGAACTAACAAAATATTTGATTTATGACTGTGCTCATCCTGTAACTCCCTGGCCCAGGTTTGCTGAGAAGGTGATGTTGAAAATGAAAGCAGGAGGTCTGTTTTTTCTTAATGTCAGCTGAGGCATTTGTGTTTGTGAGTAGAGCTTCACTTATCTCGGGCTCTTCTCCATCTTCGTCATAATGATGGCAGAACAGGTGCTGTATTTAAACATGTACTAGTTTCCTCTGTAGCTGACCTCTTTCTGTTCATTTACAGTGTTTTTTGTTTCTTCTGTTCATTATTTCATCTTCTGGGGCTCTTTTAGAGGCTGAACAAATCAAGCTGGTAATCTAAAGTACTTATTTTAAAATGTGTTATCAGCAAAGCTTATGCCCGTCACAGAGGGAAGGCCAGGCAAACTTGATGCAAACAAACTATATCTCCAGGCCAGTTGGCTCCTTCTATTTTCCCATGTGTTTTAAGAGCAGAGTGGACATTTTGGGTGGGTGGACTGAATGTAGGGCCTCATTTCCAGTATGGGGACTGAATTGACGCAGTACCCCAAACTGAATAGTTACTGAAGTGCATTGAACTCTGGATATGAGCTTGCAATGTGGGGCTGTGGCAAAAAAAAAAAAATAAAAAATGAACATTTATAATCAAAGAAGTAGCAAGTAGGAGTTTTAGGGAACAGGGGTGTATTTCCATTTCTCCGTGGCAGCAGGGAGATGTTACTGGCCTCCAATATGCACCTCTAGTATTAACATTAAAATAGGGGACCAAACAGAGAAGAACCTTGCCAAAGTTTTAAGGGCTGAAAAAGCCTAACAGTGAGAGTCTTAAGGAGTTCAGGCTTCCTTAGTGTATTAAAAGAAAAAAAGAAAAAAAAAGGTTGAAAGATGATTATTACTTATAATCTGAGTATCTACATAGGGACAAAAGCTATGCAGGCTCTTTAGTCTTAACAGGGAAGAACATGATCAGCTGAATATAAACAAACTTGTGATCAAAATTTCTTTAAAGTGAGGGCATTTGTAAGGCGGAATGAAGTAATGAGGGAAGTGATGGATTCCCTCTCTCTAAGGCTTTCATCTTAGGCCTGATGCCTTTCAGAAAGACTTGCTTTAGTCAACCCAAGTTATGGTCTTAAAAGTAATTTGATTCACGTTCTGTGCCTATGATATACAGGAAATGAGATTAGATGACCCTACAGCCTTCAGTCTGAACCTGGATATGTGGAGTGAAAACTTCCTGTGTTTGCTGAGTGTCTTCAAGACTTTACCTATATGTGCTGCAAAGCTATCCATGGCGTTGCAATTAGTGTGTTATTACTTTTTCTTTGGGGGGGGAAGGAGGAACATGAGGAGAAATGATAGAGATCTGCCTTCAGAGCACTACATAGAGCTGTGCTAAACTGCACACTTTATACTTGGCACACACGAAAACAATCTAGTAGCAGCAAAGTGAGGCTGTACAATTTGGATTGCTGCAGGCAATGTAAGTAAAACCTGATAAGACCCTTTTTTTTTTTTTTATTGGGCATGCTTAAAACAACCTTGTAATCCCTTATAGGTCTTGTCTCGTTTAAGCAAGTTCAAAGCTATTGACTTTAATTGAGTTACTCTTGCTTTACAATAATGTAAATGAGATGAGAACTTCCCTTCCTCGTGGCCCTGGTTTATATTACAGCAAAATAGCCAAAAAGACTTCATTTAGACTTTAGAAACAGAAAATCTCTGGTAAAATTCATTCTTAATTTTAAGTTTATGTAATAACTCCAAGGCACATCTTGTTACTGTATGTTTTCAAAGTAATTAAGGGAGCGCTTGTAGGAAATGAGTTTATTAACCAGTGTTTTGTATCCTTTTTGAAAAGACGCATAGTTGAAATTGTTCATGTATAAATCCTATATAATAGGAGCACTACTTTTTTTTTTAAACTTCACTTTAGTACATCTTATTCTATTTTCTAAGTCAGAGAAAATAAAACATGTGTCATGCACACATCACATGGGCTCTAAATTAGAATATCCCAAAGGGAATCCCAGCCTAGGTTTACCTGACCTAAGAAACTATCTTTATTCCGTGATTCAGAATTTTAATTGCCCAAATGTGTGCACTGTAGCTTGTTACATCATCAGCAAAAATATTAATGCCCTGTGGAGTTTTAGGTTAAAAGGACAGCTTATGACAGCCACCCTTATCATGTAACACAGTAGCTGTGCCCCTTCATTTTAAGTTGCCAATTATTTCCCATGTAATAGCCCTAAAATGTACTTCAGAAAATTGCCCCCAAGGTTCCCTTTCATGCTGCAGTTGAGCAGTTTGAAGCAGGCTCAGTAAAGCTCAGCACATCTCTGGGGTGTTCTGAAGTTGCGCCACGTTTTAATAAAGATTGACACTTTCAAACAGTATGGGGAAGTTAATGCCCAACTCCTATTGCAATTCAATTGAAGTTGGATATGAAATGCTCTTTATGGTCCTATGGAAATCCTAGCCTAATTAAAGATATGAGAGAGTTCGTGCAAGAGGAGGATCTTTTAAAAGTCAATGAGGAGTGAAGGGAGCTGATTTTTAAACCTTCTAAATGATTTATTCCACAATCTTCAGAAAAGTTGTGTTCAGAATAATGTTTCATACACAACTTAGCCGGAGGGAGGAGAGAAAGAATCTGGGTCTGTAACAGGAAGATAGCTTCAGTTTTAACTGTAGAGGAATTAAGCATTCCCCATAATGAATTTGGACTGTGCACTAACCTTTTGTTTAGTCTGAACACAGCTTATTTTTTTGTTAGCTTCTTGACTCTTTCACTACAGGAAAGGGAGAATAAGAAAACAAACACACAATCCTTTTTACAATTTCATTAAAGTAATCTTCTTTGATTCAAGCCATGTTCCATGGTTAGGACTTCTAGCTTTATGAGAGACAACCACGAAGAACAACAAAAGTGAGCAGAGCAAGAAGATCCGTGAATTTTACCTCAGTTTGTTAAACTCTTACCACTTCCCACTACTCCCCCTAGGCACCTTCGTGGGCATCATCAGTGTTCTCATGGGCATTGGGTGGCAGTCCTAACATTTCTTTAGCTTCCTGTCCATCCTTCATTCAGCAGCAGCACCATGCAAGGCATATATCCTAGCAAGCTACTTTCAAGTCTTAGAAACTTAAAGCTTTGAATCCTGCAGGCATTCTGACTACAAACATACCTGATGTGCTAGGAGTGGAAGCTGGACTACCTTTTTTTTTTTCCTACTCCGTTGCTTCTGCTAGTAGCTTCTCATGCGTCACTGTACCTCTATCCTGGAATTAGCTCCATTTGGTTTATAGTCCCTGTTTGCAGTCTATAGTTAGATGATGTTAGGCTGGTCTTAATCCCCTTTCCTCATCCCACCTCAACCATTCTGAATAAAGTTTGTATTGCAAAGGAACGGGTTTTCTGAAGATCTTCAAACAGCAGATCATCTGCTGGGAACTTAGAGCTTGCAAGCTTACAACCTTGCTTTCTCGCAACCTTGCTTTCTCCCAAAGCAGTATTTTGTATTTGGGTTTTCTGTCACTGCAGCAATATTAAGTATGCAGTTGCATGCAGTGGGGCTGCACATGGGCAGCGGGGTGGCTTTAGTAGGAATGGACTTCAGTTACTCAGTAAAATTTAGTGGGGCATATTAAACTTTGACGGTACACTCCTATGGAGGATAATGTGATTGCACACTGTGCATGGTTTGGTATGTAAGTAATATCTGACATTGCTGCTCTCCCGTACTCTAAACTATGTACCTACCCTTCCTTCCTGCTCCTTCCCACTCAGTTAACCCCTCCTTTCTTGCTAGGGGGCCTCAAGGGCTGGAAAGCATTATAGACTGCATGCAAAGTGCATGTTCAAGCTGTCTAGGTGGTATTTTGGCATATTCTTCTCCCTCTGCTCCAGAATTTAGTACAGCTGCAAAAGCACACATCCGTGTTTTTTCATAGTCTTTTTGCTTGTACCCCAGTTAGACCAGATGATACAAAGATGTTCTGTGGCAGTGTCTCAGCTGGAAAATAGTGTTAAAAGTAGTAGTATATTAACCCAGGTATGTCCAGGCATTAGCCACCTAAGAAATAAGTATTCTCCCATGAGGGAACTGACAGCATGTTGCACAGAAGGAGGAGCAAAAGCCTACATTGAGAAGACTACTTACTTGATGCCAACAAGTTAGTAAGAAAGCTGAAATAACAGGTTCCTGTCCTAGGCTGTTAATGACAGACCACTCTTCTCTTCCCTGTTAGGCTGTGAGTGGCCTTACACTGCATAATGGAGATAAACTTGCTGGCTTTTCTGTAGTCATCATGAGAAGCCTAAGAAGTCTATCTGCATTTTTGTAAGGTCTGTCTTTACTAGATCTTATGAAGCTGTTACTGCACTGCAGTGAGAGACTGGAGTTTGGTGGATTTTCGTGGGACCAGTGTTAGAGCAAGAGATGGGAGTTGGGAATGTGCAGAGCGGTTTTATTCTCTCTTGAGTTTTCTGATTCCTTTGGGATCTGAATGAGTGGAGATGCAGCCCAACAAATTAAGTTTGCATCTGAGAGCTGATTTATTTCTCTTGGAATAGCAATGGAGAGGCATTAGAAGGAAATTCCCCAAGAATACATGTGAAAACTCTGCACTGGCAGAACACTTTGAGCCCCCAAATGTATTTCAGCTGATCCAGCACGTATGGTTGCTGCCAGGGCACATCATCAGAACTAGGAGGCTTAGAAATACCGTGAAGTTGCATCAACGCATGTTTCACGGATGGAATATAAGTGTCTTGCATGGGCAGCCATCACAGTCAAAATATTTAGATAGGGTGTTGTAACCTTGGTCTTCTTAGCGTATCGTGTGATTTCACAGTTCACCTAGGGAAATATGGCCAGCCTGAGATGATGTGGATCCTCTGTGTCCATCCTGTGCTGGGATTCTGGATGGCCGTCAGAAAGGGCAGGCAACCAACTCAGGAACTGCAGTACTGGTAGGCCAGCCAAGGGGAAACGGTAAAAACTCAGTAATGGCTGTGTCTTCCTTCCTCCTACAGTCACAGCAGTTAAAGTAATAAAACTTCAGCTCTATTAGCATGCTAGAGCTCGGTATGAGCACTCAGCGTGTTTGTAATGGCTAGGACTGATAAATCATCACCTCATGAGTCAATGTATTTGTATTAGCCTGTGGATTGCCTGGGTTTTCTTTATGGAGGATCTGGAGTGAGCTATATTGCCTCTTCTGGTTACTCACAAGAGCTCCTCCTTGGTGTGTTTCTGAAAAAGAAGGCACTTTTAAGTCCTGCTGCTGAGTGTCTCTTCAGGTAGAGAGGAGCTTGTGTTTCTGTCAGTTGTTTTACCTATTGCTGGTGCTAGGGATGCTCTGCCTTTGTCTCTGTTTCTGCCTCTCCAGATCTGCGCCTTCAGAAAAAGGTTAGGGCAAAGGGCAGGCCAGCATGTGGGCCAGGGGAACCTCACATGCCAACGCTTCAGTTGTATTCCTGTGTCAGAGCAAAAGTAGAAGCTCCTCCGTTGCAATACAGAACTTGTAGTTCTTCCCTGTGGCTGTTGGAAACACACGAGTCTTTAAGTGATAGCCAGCTCACTCCAAAAGGGAGAGAGGCCAATGGCTGTGTTTATAAATGTCGTAAAAACAAGCCACAGGATGTGTTTTTATTCTCTCCTGTCATTCTGGTCTTCACATAGAGTTTCAAGGCTCTAAAAAATCCAGGCACTCCCGTAGCTTCCTGGGGAGATTTTTTGCAACTTCTGCTTGTCCATAGGTAGCTCCAGGGGCTTGCCTTGTATTTTGGCTCCCAAAACGAAGCCAAATTTATTCCCAACCTCTTCTTCCTTCCCCTCAGTGTTTATCCCACTGTACATTGACCAGATGCTGCAACTGAACGCCAGGCTGCTTCTCAGCTAAGAATTAAGTGATGAAGGAGACATTCTCAAGGAAAACCTTGGGAAAAACGTTGTGCAGTTTATTTGCCACTGCCCAGCGTGTGTTTACTTTTTGGGGGGATCCAGATGTCTCTGGGTAGGGGCTACCTTTCACACTAGTGATGTAAATTACCATGGCTGTAGGTTGGAGTTTTTATTTTTCAGGCTTGGTAGCTGCGTTTTAGAGGAAGAAGCGGACCCATGGGAAGGTCAAAAGGATTTTTGCCCTTCTGTTCCCAACGAAGAAATCTTCAGTGACCATTTAAATATATATCTTACCAGTCTCTGAAATAAGCTTGATGGCAGCCTTAAAATCTATTTTATAACAGACCTTAGTGAAATTGAACCTTGGTTTGTATTTCCCCACCAGCTTGTGTGCCCAGAGCTCACACCAGAACCTGGCTGCGTGCAGCACGCAACTGTCCCTCTCTCATCGCTGCGGAAGGAATTAGGCAGCAGCTGGAGGTGTCTCCTGGAATAAGTCAGGGCAGCGAGTGCCAGTGTAGCATGTCTGACTGCCTGTCAACTAATTTCCACGCACCGAAATGCTGTGTGCTTGGGAGGAAAAAGGCTCAAGTCGCAGCATCATTTCATCTTCCTCTACTCAGACATTTAGTGCATGGAGAAAAGATGGGCTACCTTAGTGAAAATCTTAAAAATACCTCTTTAGAAAGGGTTTCTTCCCTGTTTTTTTTTTTTGTATCACCGAGGAATAACCCCTTTCCAGCTGCTGCTGCAGAACACCCAATACAGTGTAAATAATATAATAGCACCTGTTCAGAAATGGCCTGAGATTGTATGGTGGTATTCTCTACTCATGCATCTTCAGCCGTGGCTGTTCCTCCTCTTGTCCTCCTCCTCCACTTGTTATTGTCCACAGAAAGAAAATGTGAGCCAAATAACGTCAAACTTGTAATATCAGAATGAGTAAGAAATGAAGCAAACTGCAGTTGCCAGTTCCGTAGTATTACTTTTAATGGATTTGTGGTGCTTGTCTGCTGTGGAATTCTTGTGTATAAATCAACCATGTGAAAAGCATTAAATATGCTGGAAATACAGCACAGGAGTTCAGATCATATAAATAGATACAGCAAGAATGTTGCATCCTGCCAAGGACATTTTCAAATAATGAATGTGTCTTGCATTAAATGAATTTGTTCCCTTTCTGAAGCCTGGATGTTGATATCACAGAAACTACCATGATAGCTGGTACTCATGGCTCTCCTCTTGGTAATTTGGATGGGATCCCAAGGGTCAAAAGGACTACGGAGACTGCCTTTTGCCCTCTAAAGGGAGATCCTTCTGGGATTAGGCAGAGTTTCAGCAACTGGTGTGAAGAGAAGTGTAGTTACTGAGGGTATCAGTCTCCAGGAATCTCTTGGCATCACTTATTAATGCTAAAGGACATTTTTAGAAAAAGTTATTGTGTTGTTTTTTTTTTTCTTATTTTTCCTTTCTCTCTCTCAAAAGAGCTCAGCTAAAAGGAGGAGATTGTAAGACCTGTGTGTTTATCCCGCTTTAAATGTGGCATAGTGTGTGCCTGACTCACGCTCTGGCTCCTCAGCACCTGCCTGACAGTGCTGGTGAGAGCACCCACTTGTCAGGGGCCTGTGCTTCCTCCCTTCCAGGTTCTCCGAGCCAGACCCCAGCCACACGCTGGAGGAGCGAGTGGTGCACTGGTACTTTAGCCAGCTGGACAACAACAGCAGCAATGACATCAACAAGCGGGAGCTGAAGCCCTTCAAGCGTTACGTGAAGAAGAAAGCCAAGCCCAAGAAATGCGCCCGACGTTTCACCGACTACTGTGACCTCAACAAGGACAAGTCCATCTCCCTTCAGGAGCTGAAGGGGTGCTTGGGAGTCAGCAAGGAAGGAGGTGAGTGTCTTTCCTTCCCCATCCTGTGAGAATAAAAGACTGGTGTGGAGTTATGTTAAACTCAGGAATCAGTTTTCCCTCAGGTGATGGAAAAGTGCCACGGTTTGCATGGGAAAATGAGTGGGATTAATATCCTGTCTTGTGAATATAGTTCATTGTTTATGAAGCTATGTCTTAAAGTCCTTATCACAGACCTTTGTGCAAAGCACTGTATGGATACAGGGCAAAAAATTGAGCCTTGCCCAGTACCCGGCTTGTACTATAAAAGTCCTTGGAAACCGTAGTTCAGATCAGGTCCTTTCTGAGTAATACACTGCTGCCAATATTTTGTTGCCTCAGCCATGTAGGTTGGATGGCGTATGAGCCAGCACAGACCCAGTCCTTCTCCAGAGACCCTGTTGACTAGCAGAAATAATATTTATTTTCATTGCTAAATCTAGTATGCAGGAGAGTGGATGACGCACAGAGAACAACTCAGAAAGAAAGTGCAGAAATATGGTGTTGCCCTTTTACAGAGTTAAATTGAACTTAATAAATCAGAAAGAAATAGGAATAACTTTTTTCCTTTCTGTTCAATGCCTGAGTAACCAACCCACCCTCCTTCCTTTTCTTCCTTTCATCTTCACCTCATCTTCTGTTGGGACCTGGACCAAACTGATATTTTTGGAAATTTTACGAATTGAAACTCTTCAACCCAAATTCAATAATTATCAGTCATTCTTGACTGTGGGTAGATTTGCTTGGCAGGAGAAGGCAAGCTGGAAGATTCCTGGAGACTAATTTCCTGTGCAGGTGTTTTGGCTGTGCGGACAGCTCTTGTAACTAACCATCGTGCTGCTCGGGATGGGTGGCTAGCTTTCTTTTTCTAGGCTTAACCTTTCCTTAGTCCTTTCCTTGGGTTTAGCAAGCGTGAGAAGGGAGTGAGTGCATTTGAGTGTTGGGACGTTGCCTTTTCCAGGTGCTTTGCAAATGTTTCAGTTATCATAATAAGGCTGTTGCATTATTTGTCAGCTGTGAGAAGCTTTCGGCTTCCCTGGCTCAGTGGAAGCTTTTCTCTTAGTCATTGGTACTTTACTGAGGAATGACGTACCAAAATAGCAGCCCTGTTCCTTAATTTTATTACCTTCCCAATAAGATGAATATGCCAAATTAGTTTTATTGCTATTTGGCCTGGAATAAGACTCTCTGGAATCTGCTGCCTTGGCCAACTGACTGTTCAGAATTTAGTTTATGGAAGGGGGGAAAAAAGGAGAGAAGGAAGAAAATGAGGATCTTTGAGCTCAAGTGAAGGGGAAAGAAAGTAGCAAGGGAGACACGTTGAGAGTGCCTGATTCCCACACTGTTTGCTGAGAACCCAGCCTGACTTTTCATGGTTAATTACATTGTATGAGGACAGAATTGTGTGCAAAAAAGGGCTATGACCTTTTTTTAATCACACAGCTCTGCATATTGACCAGAGGCCTGATAAGCCTTGAGGTAAACACCTACATTTTGTGTAAGGAAAACTCTTAAGAAAGGACTAGGGGTAGCTGAAGGATGACGAGAGCTAAAAAGCTGTAGAGGAAGCCAGTGCAGGGAGCAGATACCAACATGTAGGAAAGAATGTGAGTACTCTAGAGGTGTGGCTTACAAATTTGTGATAGATCTTTTTTAAGGAGTCATGAATTTGTGAGGTGGTGGATAACCAGTTTGCCCTGCCTTCTATTCACAAGAACCTCTAAATTGAGGAATGGCCAGTAGCTCACCTTTTCTTCAACATCCTCTTATTCCAAAAGATGGGAGCATGCAATCATCCAACTCAGTCCATGTGTTTCTTCTCTGCGTTTCTTTCTCTATGCCATGGCCTCCGCACATCTGCTTGGGCTGAGGTCACTGTGGGTTGAAGCCAAGAGCTGGTTGGGAAGCTTTTTGATGACGTACTTTCTGTTGTAAACTGCCAGTCAGATGAAACCAAAACTTCTCACGGAAATGTTTGTTTCAACAAAAACTTTGTTGGAAAGGTTTTTCTGGTCTGGTTTTGGATGAGGGAAGGGTTTGAGGGACGCAAGGAAAGTCATCATTTCCAGTTGATACACTTCATTTCTAATGAACTTGCCTCAGATGTTCCGAATCATACTTGGTATCCAGCAGCATAAGGACTAGAGCGAGTTGGGTCACCGCTCCAGGTGAGCATGCTTCCTGCTAGGTAAATTGAACACTTGTACTGATTTTGAAAATAAAGCTTAATACAAACTTTGTAGGGTTTGGGATGGTGAGAAAAACAAATGTTAAGGCTTCTGCATTTTTGTCAGCTTTTGATTTTTTGTGACCATTTCCATCTGAAAATGGAAATGATGGTGCTTGGTGGAAGCACTGTTACCTGTCTCTTGGCTAATAGAAAAACAAAACAATGAAGATTAACGTGGGAGGATTCATCTCGTATGTTCATAAGGACAAGACTGACTCTGAGCTCTTTCCAGGTTAGGGTCATATCTGTCTGAGGTGCATAGTTCTGTCTTTCTTCCTCTTCTCAGCAGGTTCTTGATTCCTGTGGTCCCCTAATGTGTGGGTGCTACCAGTCAGTGGTTCTCCAATAAGGAAAAGAGCTGTCCAGTCAGCCAGCAACCGTTTCTCTTTTCCATCCTTATGATGACCTAGAAAGCTGCTGGGAAATCTGCAAGGTCTGGTGGCCACTTTGCACAGCTCTTGCCCCTCTGCTTAAACCAGATGCGTTTCTGTCAGGAGCAGCTCTGATGGAGAAATGCCATTCCTGGCACTCAGAATGGGGTCACCACAAAGGGCCAGCCTTTGAAGGCAACCGTCTGTGCCAACAGCGCAATTCAGAAATGGGATCAAAATGTCTTAATTAAAAACGGGGCATGTCACTTTCCACTGGAGCTGAGCAAAGACTACAGAAAGAAGGAAAAATAGTGGTCAATTTAAACAGCAGAATTAATTCAGTGCTGTGTGAGACCCTTCTAATTGGTATCTGCAGAAGTGACTGATTCTCTTTGTGCCTGGGGAGACCTCTGGGAATGAAGATACTCCATCACTTATGCAGGCAGCTGTGTGGGAACTGGTAGCAAGGAGCAGTCATGTGGGAAAGGCCTCTGAAATGGCAGTGGTAGGAAGCGATGACAGCCTGAGAGGCTCTGAGAAAACTGTAAAATACCATTTGCTGCATACAACCAGGCAGTGGCTGAGTTAACAAAACTGAAATTCAGAGTACAACTAATTGTAATTAAATGTAGATTACAATATAAACAAGCTGCACTGGTTCAGTGCCTGGTTTTGTTTGCCTTGTTAGATATCTGCCTTTGGAGCTCTGTAGGGATGCTTTAGTTTGTCACCTTTAATCCTGAGGGTTAGCATCAATCAGGACATCAGGGTTGTGTTGACACGAGATAGGGCTCCTGGTGGTGTGTTTCTCTCCCATCAAAGGTGAGAGGTTTGCTCAGTTAGTTAGAGGAATTACTTCTACCTATAAAAAGCTGCTGGGGTTTCCTTGTGGCTTTTCCTTTTGAAAGACATCTGGCCCCATTGTAGCGAATTATTACCCAAAAGAGTGTACTTGTGAGGCTGAGTAAATACTTTCCATTAGGAAACTTACTGAGTGATGGGATGTTCCTCTGCAATACCCAAGTGCTTCCTGGGTATGCTTTATTTACCCGCTGTCACCAGCTGCCATACGCCTTCCTCTCTTCCATTTCTTTCATTACAGCTTTATGCTCGGTGTGGTATTACTCTGGTGGGGTTTTCTCTGCTGTATAGCTACACGTGCTGGACTGTGTTCATACTGAAGGCAGCTGACTGAAGATGATGTTCTCTGCCTTTGGAGTGAAAAGTGATCAGCATTACGGTAGTCAAGTTTCCCTGCGTGGATGTATTTAGGAGAAACCCACAGAAAGCACAGAGCCCTGCCAGCATGCTGGAAAGGTCTGTCATGCCCAGCCTCGAGTTTCACTGTCATTTTAGGCCCTTTGTATCAGCTTCCCAAGCCTTTCTGAAGACAAGCAGGTCCCAGTCACAGTAATGCAGCTAGTCTTAGCTGAAATCACTTCCAAAGTCTTATTTTGTTTTGTTTTGGTGACATCTCATTTGCACATGCAAGTTACTTGTACTGGGAAGGGGGCTGAGTATATGGCACAAAAGACGTGACCTGTTTCAGTTTGGAGTGGGAGGATGTAAACCTATGAGAGCTGCTGAAGCCAGCTTCCAGCCACATGTGAACATGCAGTCGACACAAGAGAGATGAGCACAGACCCTGAGGAGAGGCTTTAGCCGCAGGTAGGCTGTGGACGAAGGGAGGTGATGGAGCGTGGGGCCATGCGTGGCCGAGCAGCACCCTCTAGGGGAACGGCTGCCCGAGGATGCAGCCACTTACAAAGGCCCTGCGATTTTATTGCCAGGCCCCCGGGTGAGTCCCAATTAGCTCTGGAAGAATCTGCCTCTTGGCAACAGAGCCCTGCTTTTTATGTACAGGCACAGGAATAAGTTAACGCGGTTCCTCTGATCTTGCCAGGGCAGATGGCTGATACGAGGCTGGCGTTTGGGGGCCTTGAAATCACTTACTATGTTTATACAGTTTCTCTTATTAACAATTTTTAAAGCCAACAGGTTTTGCTTTGTAATCCATTTAAAATGCAGCTACCCCCACCTTTCTCTCCCCCCTCTTTTTCTTCCTGGTGCTTCCGTCCCTTTCTTATGGTGCAGCATCTGTCTTCCTGCAGTTTCCCCACTCTCCCACCCTATTGCTACCTTTCTGCTCATCTTTCTCTTGAGCAGAGCAAAGTTTTCTTTAGATGTGAGTGTCTGTATCACTGGTGCAAGTGAAATCACTCAGTGTGCAAAGCAAAGTGTACAGTCGTGGCAGATACACACACAAAGCAAAGATCTAAACCTGGCCAGTGTGGGGGTGGCAACATTCTTCTGGGTGGCAGATCCCACTTCCAGCTGATGACCCTCTTCTGAAATCCAGACCAAGCAGCTAACCAGAACTGTAACATGCCTTATGAAGTGCTCAGCTCCTGTACTCCCTGAGCTGTCTGTGCCCAGCACATCATGGGAACTGGTTTCTTGCAGAGGCCAAAGCCCTTGCCATTAGCTCCATCTGGTGTAGGGTGCATGTGCCTGTATCTTGTCACACAGTCGTAACTGTATAGTCTGGTCCTGCCCTTCTGCCAGACACGAGTTCAGATCTTTCATTTTAGGCACCTGTTGGATTGTGTGCCCAAGCATTCAATCAGTAGAAATTAAGTAAACTCAGCCTGTCTGTTTTACACCTTCACTTTTCTGGCTGCCTGCTTTCTACGTGGCATTATTTTGCTTGCTGTTCGCAACACCTGTTTGGGGAAACTTCATGGCACTACTTGTATCCTTCCTTTCTTCATCCTTCTTCCACAGTTTAGCTTAACTTTGTTGCTTCTTGCCCACGACAAACCTCTGGATTTCATGGTTACTGCAGCACCAGGTGTTTAGCATCAGTCATCTCAAGCATGTTGGTCTGACTCCTGCAAGTGAGTCTTAGGGAGTGCTGGCGAGGCTTTCTGTGTGCACACCCACAACGGAGGAGCTCCTTGGAGCCTGCCTGCCAGCACAGCTGGTGGGGATGCTCCTTGGTCATGCCATGGCATTTACTGCCTTTAACACGGTTCTTGGATTTTACAGGTAGCCTGAGCAGTTTCCCCAGTGGAAAAAGACAAGGCCTTAACCCTTTCAGTGAGTATCTTATCAAAATATTTATTTCCCTTTTTTTTCTTTACGATAACCATGTGTCCCAGAATTCATGCTCTCCTATGTTTACAAATAGCAATACATAAACAACAAGAGGCCAAGATTGTTCTTAAGAGGTGTGAGTATAATAATAACGTGCAGCTCTTCTGTATCACCTCCAAGTCCAGCACCATGTCTTCAGCTGTGGCAGACAGCACATTGCTTAGGAATTAGAATAGGGCACAGTACGTATTTGATGAACACTCTCCTAGCCTTATTCTCCCTGCTTCTAGCAAGCAGTGATTTAGGCAATTAGTTGCATTTCCATTGTATTGCTACATGGACTTGTTCCCATGAAGATTCTTCTCTGTCCCAGTTAAGGTCTGTTCTCCTCTGCACTTTGTGGCAGTGAATTGCACCCTTTCATCAGGTGTGAAGAACAACTTGCGCTTGTTTTCCTGTCAGACCTGCTGCCTTATGGTGTCAATGGGTGCTTCTCAGCTCGTAATGTGAGAAACAGTGGGCAGCTCTCCCCTGCCTGTCTTTCCCATGACACTTGTTCTATAGCCCTCCAACATACCTCTGGTTAGACTCCATTCTGTGTTGAAAAATCTTTTGCTATATATTTGCTTAGTGATAGTTACTTATACCTCTTGCTATCCTCCACCCTTTTGTGGGTACCTTATCTAGTCCTGCTGCGAGTTCCCCTTGAGATGGGCTGAACAGAGAACCGAAGATAAGGATGAGCTAAGCCTTGTGCATTGATATGGTGATGCTTCCTGGTGTGTCCTCAGTTCTGAGCAAGAATTTGATTTTTGTCTGCCGTGAAAAGCTGAGAAAAGGCATTCCAAAAATCATGTACTATGGCTTCAAGCTCTTTGGTAGTCACTCAGTCCTTAGTGTAGGGCAGGTCATCCTTGCTCCCCACTCCTGCACTGCTTTGCATGTCTAGACTTTGAAGTCAATCTGCTGCTGTTACAACCCGTTCATTGAACACTGAGAGAACATTAAGCAAAGCTGTGTAGAGAGATTCAATTATGACAATTTGAAGCAATTTTGCATTTGTCAATATTTGCCCCCAGTTGGTGGGACAGGTCAGTTAGCACTGGTCCCAGTGAGGCCTGCCTGGTAACCTTTCTCCTTTATGAAAACCAAATCCGTACTTCTGCCTTCTCTTCACTGTGTTTTCACTTGTAGTTAATCCACAAGGTGCACTTGTTCTGATCCCGTAAGAGCTTTGATTCCTAACTTTTGATAAGGGACTTTACAAAATAAATAAATAAATAAAACCAACAAACTTTCTGAAGAAGGGAACACAAGGATGTGGGTCTCTGTCTGACTCTCTAAGCAGCACCTCTGCACCATCCCCTAGGACACAGCTTAGCAGGGCCCTGGGGCTCCCAGCCCCATCCTTGCTGCATCCTCTCCATTTCATCAGCGTGGTAGCCGTCAGAGGGCATGGTGCAGGCAAGTCTTGAAGAACTGCTAAGCAGGGAAACTGCTGTGTTTTGTGGGGACATCTTCCTCCTGCTTGCCTGGCTAGGGACTGTGGAAGCTGGCCATGGCTCCAGGGCAGCTGCAGGCAAGGCAGCCTTACAGCGGTGGGATTCTGCATCAGCCTTCGCAGGCAGAAGAGCAGAGGGAGTGATGTTGGACTAGTGTTTTGCCCAGCCTGCATGCCCATTTCCAAGAAGGGGGAGGGCGAGGGAAAGTGGTGGTTCACGTTTAAAAATACATTAGTCCCTAGGGCTGTGTGTGACTCAGTCAATGCTTTTTTCAGCAAGGCTGTCTCATCAGCCCCGTGTTGTTCTCAGCCTCACAGCTTACTTGGGATCTCAGCCTTCTGGGGCCTTGGCTGCAGCAAAGGCTGTGCTGTATCTTACCTCAGATGGGAGCTGTTTTGGTTTTAATCTGCCTTTTTTTTTCCTCACTTTCCCTGCTTCTGTTTTGTTTTCCCTTGTTTGCCCACCCCACCCTTCCCAGTAGGCCGCCTGGTGTAGCAGCAGAAGATGGGAAGGGAAGGCAGGAGCCGACCCAGAGGAAAGAAAGACAGCGACAGACGGACAGACACCTTGCTGCTTGTGAGCAAGCATGCAGCATCAGCAACATCCAACGTAGCAGAAGTGGCACCCAGAACGTTTGCACTTTCTAATAATTGGTTTGGGTTTGGGTTTGTTTTTAATTTCTTTTCAATGCCATTATCTAATACTTTGGAGAGTGGGGGGGAAACAGGATCATGACTTTTTAAAATTGGAACAGCTACTGATGACTTAAAATTGAGTTCACTGGGACTCAAAGAAAGAGAATTTTATATACTGTATATAAATATGTATGTAAATTGTACAGTTGTCTTGTACAGGGGTTGGAGTCACTGTTCTGTTCCTCCCTTTGCTTTTGAAGGCTGTTAGGGTTAGAGGGACACTTTGCATTTAATGGGTTACAGTACTGCATTCATTTCTGACACGATCCACCACTCAGTTGCAAACAGATCTCCTTAACATCCCCATGCACAAAGGAGCAAGCATATCAGCATGACCTGTGCTCACAGGTGTGCACACGGTGCCCAAAAAAACAACTGTTTCTTGGGAACCCCCTCTGTTCTTACTGCACAGCCCCGTGCAACTCGCAGGCGTGGGGGCTTTTGAGAGAGCACAGGTTTCACCTCAGTAGTGGTGCACTGCAAAGCAGCTTAAAGTAGGCTTAGGAAAGGGTTGTATTAAGGAAATATAAAAGTAGTTTCTGCACCTGTTGCAAATCGGGCAGAAATGAATTGCAAATGCATTGCTATCCAAGCTCAGAAGACATGCTTAGCAAAGATGTGCCGTGTCCTGGAAATCTAACGCTATTGTAAGGACATGGGAGCCATACACCCTAGTGGAGTCAGCGGAGTGATGTCCTGCATCTTCTTCTCTGACAAAGTGTTTGTCTGTATGGTGTAAAACAATAAAAATACTGAGAAACCTGCTTAAAAGCAGTATCAGCCTGCCTATTGCTTTGCTGGAGAGCAAAGAATATATTTGTCAGTGCAAAAAGACACAATTATGCTGCCGGTCCCCAAAAGTCTGGTTTATTTACGTTGCATCTCTACAGCTTGGGCTGTGCTCCCTGGTAAAGGATTGTCTGCAATGGCTGTTCTTGTCTTTGGTGGCTGTGAATCCCAAGCTCCTCTCCTGCACAGCAGAGGGTCTGTCTAGCTTAGAGTACCCACTTCACCTGATTCTCCAGTACCAGTGCCTCCCATGCTTTTATACTCCGGTAGCATGTTACAGGAATAGTGAAGGCCTGGATCGAAGAGCCTGGTACTGCTGGAGCCCACAGGAGCTGTTTCAACCACCAGCATTTTTTCCAAAGTTGTCTTTTTAATCTCAGTCAGATGCAATTGTGAAGTCAGCAGATCAGCTCTCCTGGGTTTTGGGCAGAGTGGGGTGGGACGCCCTATGTTCTGCTTTCCTTTGCTCATTTTCAGCCTCTGTCAGCACTTGCCCGTTCACAGGGGATGTTCTGAGCACCTTCCCGCTTCAGACCTGGCAATCTTTGTGCCACTCGTCTCTGGACCAAAACCTGTAGTCAGAGATGACGTCGTGCCATGCTAATAGGAGATCACACCAACAATTGCTTGTGAAAGCATTGTGTTACTGTAGAAACTGGGCCTGTCTCTTGAGGCTTTGCTGCTGTGGTAAAAGATGTTGCAACCCAGCGTCTTCACTCTGTGGCAAGTCACCATGATGATAGCTTGAGATAAACACATCACAGCAGGACTGGCCTGATGCAGTAAGTTAGTGCCTTGTTGACAAAATGGAAAGTTAGAAAAAAGAATAAGCTTTCTTTAAATAACAGTTTAATAGCAATAATAGCTCTTCCCCTGGGAAGTAGATTGGCGCTGATTAAAGCATTTGACATGGTTGAAAACACCTCTGGTAATCTCTGAAGTTTACATTACACCACCACAATGTAAAGAAAAACACTCTAATATGAGCAGATCCTGCTGCTGGATCTTCATGGTTCCCACATACAATGTATGTGCTTTTCTGGACTGCAAGTTCCCATTTCTCAATTGCATCTCCTTTTTTTAAATGTCCAGCACGCATCTTTTGTGTGTTGAAATGATTTGGTTTAGTGTATAGTTAGAAACGTCCCTGTCACTCATTAATCCTATTGTAGGAGTGAAGAATGAACCCAACTGTATAAAAAAAGACACCACGTCTTTATATGCTAGTTTTAGGAATTAAAAGCTCTGGCTGCTGTTTTTTTGTTTGTTTATGTTTTTTGTTTTCTAATGCATAGTTGCATCCAGCAAAAGCAGGCGGTTGGATGCCTACAGGAGCTCTGTCATCCAGCCAGCAGGGGCAGGCAATGCCCCACAAGATCACGGGGCGAGTGCAGAGATGCTAAAAGTCATTGCATCTTTTCTCCTGGAAATCTAAGTGAAACAGCCAGCCAGTGCTGCTGCCCGCCACATAATTATCCTTCTGCAGACCTTTTTCTCATTCTTGCATTCTTCCCCTCTAAAAGGCCTGCATACACATGTAGTTCGCAATTAAAACTGAATGAGTTCTCCGAGGAAGCCTAATAAGGGTTGCTTGTTGGTTTTAGCTCTGGTATTGGTGGGTATTCACATTAGGCTAGTGCTGACTTGATGGATCGGGATCCAAGATTTATATTGTTTCCCCTTTATTTTTATGGGAGGAGTCCAAGTCCCAGCCTCCCAACCTGGAGTTCACACAGGCCTCTGAGCAGCTTGTGGCAGAATTGTATGTTGGCGTGCAAGACCCAAGCGCCGTGGCTGTGTGATGGCTGGACAGGGGTTGTGTTACTTGTTCTGGGTTTGTGCATTGGGTGCTCACACAGACAGCACTGGTCCTGATTCATATAACCCATCCAGTCAGTTGTCCATACAGTCCATACTCATCACAACAGCAGTGCCTCAGCTTTCCTCTTCCCTTGTTGCTTTTCTGGCCTGGTCACTGGCCAGTCCCCCTGGCTGCCAGGCCACACTTGTCCTTCCATGGCAGTGGCAAGCGTGTTCTGCTCTGCCTTGCATCAGGAGCATCCTACTGAAGCTGGGGCAGGACAGTGTCAGAGTCGTGCCTGGCAGCAGACCCTGGACGTGTCTCTCCTCCTGGGCTCTCCAGCTCTACTTTGGATGACAGCTGAAAACAGCTGGGACAGAGAAGAGAGCCAGGGCTCCACAGTGCAAGTCATCCGTGCCTCCTGCCAGAAACAAAACCCCTTCCTTTTGTGCTGATCCTCCAAGGACATGGTGTGCTGGAGGGACTGCGTTATGGTGGGATTCATTCATACAAAGGCATTGCTTTCCACAGCCTAAGTTTGTACTGAACTTTTCCTGCCCCATCACGTTTCTGCCTATGGCATCGTTAGACTGAAAGGCATCTGTTTGATTCTGGTTTTGTAATAAAATAGATAACTTTTGCTCTAGTGTCTTGTGGTGGCTTCTTGTTGAATCTTGATTTCCAGAGCTCATCCTTCTTTCACATAATGTTCTGTTACTTACACAGTGCCAAAGCAGAGGGAAGGGACTTTCCTTCTCTCAGAGCCTGGTCTCGGGCTGGTTGGGATCTGAGGCCCTGAGGATGCTCCTCTCCTGTGTGTAAGCCTCCAGGACGAACTGAAACATGCCCAGAGTTCTGTCCTCTGTGGTTTAATGACAGCAGCCTAAATCTGCCCAGGCTGTTTCAAAAGGCTCTGAATCCTCAGTAGCAGAGTAGAGGTGACCTCCAAAAGTGGCACCCACAGCCAAGTGAAATCTCTGAGCGTTTTCCTTAAACCAGGGACAGAAGATAGGCACTGCATATCACATCTCCTCCTCCCTTCTCACGTGGGAGATTTCAGACACCACTCCTGCAGCTCAGGCCTTGCTATGGTGGAGCCTGAAATGGTGTCTTCTAGATGGTATTCAAAACCTTTTATTCCTCAGAGATTGGAAGTAACAAACGGTGTGCCAGGAAGCTGCTATTATTGTAAAACATGTTTTTTCATAGAATACTGGGGGGTGACATTCATCAGTGGATCCAGGCACATGGCAGAGGAGGTCACACACCCTTCCCATCAAGCAGACATGACCAGTTTTTTCATACTGTAAATGTCATTTCACTTGGTCACATGTAAATCTCTTGCAGCTGATAATGACCAATTCATTCATTGCACATCAAAAGGGAGGTAATTACAGTCCCAAAGGGAGGTTTTCTGCTTTTATAATAGCCACAGACTGGCATGTCTATAGGTAAGGTCTGTAGAAAGAGGAGCTGTTAAGACTGCTGTCCTCACATACAAGTTAAATAATGAAAGTATTGCAAACTTTGAGGAGAAAATGTGAGGAGTGACAGTCAATGTGGGTTTGTCAGGAATAAGCTACCAAACCAAGCCCATTTGTTTCAATTACTAAGGTAACAAGTCTGGAGCCTCGAGGAGAAGCAGCAGGTATCATCTCTGGAGTTCTGCAAGACTTAACAAATTAAAAGTAGGGAAAGAATTTTAAAAAATGAGTAATTCTTTGGCCATGCTTCCTCTTTCTCAACATGAGACACTCTGAGAGGCCTTCACCCTTTTCTGACAGTGCAGTAAATCTGTAAGCAAGTCAAAAGAACTACAGAGAGCCTCTTTCAACTTACGCTTCCAACAGTGATATTCCAACAGATGCCAGAAGACTTTTCATCCTCCTCCGTATTCTTCCCCCTTATCTAACTAACAAAATCCCCATGCAGAGGCTGACCTTATGACTCCTCAGCAGCCAACCCTGACAAACCATCCTGGGCAAAATCACTCAGCAGCCCTCCAACAGCTGCTGTTAAATTGGACAGCAGGATCTGCAGAAGCAGCGCTCCTCAGCTTGGAAAACACCTCGAAAACAAAGCAGGCTTTATAAAACAGCACCTCAGGAGCTAGGAGTACAACAGCAAGTATTTTGGAAGGAGTGTTTGCTTGAAAGCCTGAGGCTGGCTGCCCTGCAAGTTGTGCTTTCTGCTGTTCTGTATCTGTAGGCCCACGTAGACATTTTAATGACTTTGTTTTACCAAGGTGCCTTGCCTGTGCACACCAGGAGGTGTCTAGCTTTCGTTTGGAAAACTTAATCAGCTCTGTGTTGTAGTGCAGCCACAACCCCACCTCCCACAAGAGCAACAATGACCAGTTAGGCCATGTTGTGTGGGTCTTTCACCATGGTGGGACTGGGCTGGGGGTCTTCTGCCCCTCGGCCCAGGCAGAGGAGCCATGGCCTTGCTGCGTCTGAGCTGGGCGGTGTCCCCTCGAGGACAGGGCCCTGGCGGCTGGTGGCTCTGCTCCTTTGCTTGAGCTGTCCCTGGACTGTGGCCTGTGGCAAGGGGCACGTTTCGGTGGCTGCTGGAGGTGTGAGAGGCACACTTGTGGGCCCCATGGAGGCTGGGGCTCCGCACCTCCGTTCTGGTGCCAGCAGGCACAGCAGGCCCAGTGCTCCTGCACACCGTATGCAGCTGCCTGGCCCTCATGTGGAGCTCAGAGCTGTGTAGATGAATTCAGCTCACCCTACTAAAACAGACAAATTCAGTCCTGGCACGTAATGGACCCTTAATGCTCTGTTTTGCGAGATGTGACTGAAGGACTCAGACCTGTGTGTGACCTCCGGCCTCGGTTTGCTGAAATGAGTTCTTCCGTAGCATCTCAATGATGTGCTCCAGGCAATAAAACTGCAGAGACTGAATGTCCAGCGTCCCTTTAAAGAGTAAAGCTCTGGCTCTGCACAGCACAGAGTGCCATTGCTGTCTCATGATTCTGGCTGGCACTGCTCAAGTGATCCCTACTGATTTCACTGTGTCAGGAAAGAGCTGACGCAGCATTTGGCTGAAGAGCTGGAGCTATTTCAGAAGCGACTTGGATGTTCTCGCTGGGAGCTGGCGGGTTGTAGCAGGCAAAGCTGCACGGAGGTGGCCGAAGTTGGAGCTGGTCACCCGCAGTCCAACGTGAATGTGAATTTCTGCATCTCTTGAGCTGCTATCATTTTTTTTCAATTGTTCAGATTCTTTGCTTTTCCTGCTTGAAATGCAGTTTAATGCCAGTCCTCTGTAAAATGAGCTAAAGCACCTCAACTCTAAAAAATAAAATAGCAAATATAATTGAATTCAGGAAACTGGTGGGGGCAGGATCTCTGAATAAATGTCTTTAAGTGTAAAAGAGATCTGAGAGCTCTCAAGAGCTGAGGTCAGAGTCCTAATAAGAAACTATCCTGTTGGATGGGAAATGAGAGGAGCATATGTAGGGACCAATATATAGACAATAAAGCTCTGTCAAGAGCTCTTTAACATCCTGAAGTATGAAAAGAAACCTAAGCAGAAGGGTGCTTACCTAAGACTTCAAATAGAGGACTAGCATGAGAGGGCAGGTATAAGATAAAAAAGGCTGAGGCCTAAAAATACCCGTAACTAGCATGTGATCTAAAAGATGTGAAGGGAGAAGGCAAAGTTTGTTCTAATATGGAAGGTGATGCGAACCAGTAATATAAGGACAGGCAGAGCCTTTAAAGCTTGTCATTGTTAAAAAATAAAATTAAAATAAAATAAAATAAAATAAAATAAAATAAAATAAAATAAAATAAAATAAAATAAAATAAAATAAAATAAAATAAAATAAATGTATTGTGACCCTATACTTAGCAGAATTAATTTTATTTAAATGAAAAGGTCACACAATGCATGTCCCCCCACCCACCGGTCCCTGAATGAGCAGGAGAAAAAGCAATGCGAGAGCAATGCAAATGGTGTTTGATCACTGAGGAAAATGTCAGCAGGACCTGATGAAGTTCCTTCTGGAGAATACGAGCACTGGCCCAAGTATTTCTGGCTCGTGTAGGATAGGTTTCAGGCATTGTAGAATACAGGTGAGATCCCAGAGGACTTAAAGATGAGAAAGCAATGTCACCTAACTGAGAGATGAAGAAAAACCTAGGGAATTATAGACCTGATGTCCTAATGGTGTCGCTAAGTGAAAACCTGTAAGAGAGCTTAGGGATATGGTTTAGTGGGGACTGTTAGTGTTAGGTTAGAGGTTGGACTCGATGATCTTGAGGTCTCTTCCAACCTAGAAATTCTGTGTGTGATTCTGTGTGTGTGTGTGAATGAGGTACTGAACAATTATTCTCTAATCACCTAGATGTATGCACAAATTTGTAAAAAATGGCTGGAATGGATTTGTTGATGTTTTGCTGAGGACAAATCACATCAAACCCATTTAATTCCATCCTTTGACAGGATAACTGGCCTCATGGCTGGGGGGTTAGCAGTAGATGTGATGTGTCTTGACTTTGGTAAGGCTTCTGGCACTGTCCCAGAAGACATCCTCATAAACGAGCTGAGGAAATGCAACCTATTTAGGCTCACGATGCATTGAGTTCAGAGTCAAAGTCAGAGAGCTTCCTGGGGAAGTCTTTTCAGTGCCCATCCACAGTCCAGGTCTAGTCAGTATTTTTGTCAGCAGCTTTAGGAAATTGCTTTGATATAAAATTTCCTGGTAGCAGGCAACTGGGAGGGGTTGGGAGCTACCCATGAAGGGTAGGACCAGAATGCTTGATAAATTGAAGGAACGGTCCAAGTCAACAGGATGAGTTTCGGCAGATAAGCGTGCAGTGACCTGCTGTGAGGATGCTGGAGTGAATGTGCAAACACAAAACGAGAACCCAGCAGGCAGCAATCCAACAGAAAAGACTGCTCAGAAGATGAAAGAGGAGAAGGGGGAAAAGCTGAAGGGCTTTCTCATATATGAAATGCTCTTATACAGTGATCAATGATAGTGATAGTGATCGATGATTTTCCATGCCACTGTAAATAAAACAAGAAGGAAAAAATGATCAGGGCAAAAGAAAACTCTTAACGTTTACAGTTACTTTCTGTGCAAGATGCTACTGAAGGAGAGAAGGCGATAGAACTTCTTTTGCTACATTTTTAAAAGCTTAATGATCAATGATAGGTGTTGGAGGTGGTCTCTACAGCATGCCTTACTGCCAAGGAGGTGTCATGGTGACCTTCTGAGGGCTTCACATGATCTTTTGTGGTGAGATTTTATCACACAATATTTCCATATACCCAAGGTGTACAAAATGGCACCAGCTTTTCTGTAAAGTTGCCTATTTTCCAAGACACCAGAAAGATCATCCCAAGAATGTATTTACAGCTTCACAATGTAGACCCTAAAAAAATATAAAATCTTGTTTGGATGGTTTATTCTTTAATTCACTTAGATGTCAGACCAAATTTAACTTCCTAGGTCTGTTTTCTGAGACACCAGAGAGACCGTCCCAAAAATGTATCTATAACTTCATAGTGTAGACCCTAAAATAAAATAAAATCTTGTTTGGATGGTTTATTCTTTAATTCGCCTAGATGTCATACCACCTTCAACTTCCTAGATCTGTGTTACTTTATATTGCATTCTTCAAATTGGCCCAAATTCTGAGTGCACCCCCCAGCAACGACTAGCAGGCAGGTCGTGAGTTTTCCTTTAGCCACAGCTGCAGCTGGAAACAGCAATGGCACTCAGGGACATCAGTGCATCCTTAGGTGCAGGTGCAGGAGGAACACCTGGTGAACTCATCCAGGGGGAAGGGGGTAAATGGTAAATCTACTCATGGTGTTAATTTTGGTGGAGCCATTTACTCATGGTGCTAATTATCTAGATATTGTAATTGGCTCATTTAAATACTGGGAGGCCCGTCATCCCCACCCCCTATGGATGCAAGCCACAAATAACACCACTGTTAACGATCTGTCTGCCTCTGGCACACACACACGATGACAATGGTCAGACATTTTTCCCCCTGATATAATACTCCAATGTTTATTCTTGGTGACAAGCGCTTTTCAGCTTGTTGCCAGGGCTGAGCAACTGCTGCTCCCCTTCGTGCGGGTGGTTCTCACACCAAGGTCATGGCTGTGACCATTCCCAAGCAGAATTAACCCAAAAAAGCTTCCCACCCCTCTTAAAAAAAGGCAATTCCCAGTGAACGATACGAAAACACCCAGGGCAGGGTGCACAGGCCCACATCCAAGTGGCTTTTGAAGATCTCCAAGGAGGAAAGATTCCTCAAAGGCCTTGCTACCTACGCTTTATCTCACCAGTGTCCAGATACTGCAGCTCTGGGTGGCCTCCAAAACGCCTTCCCAAAGCAAATCTGCTGGGGAAGGCAAGTGGGGAGGTCTTGTAGGAGGCTTCTCCTGCAGCTGTTGCTGTGAGGTGAAGCAGTGTCACTGCTTTGGGAGGGAGGGGTCCCCTCCGACACCAGGGACAAGTGGCTTACAAATCCATCCAGCAGCCACAGCTGCGGGAGCGGAGGAAACGTGAATCACAGGGTATTTTTGTGTTTAATTTGTGCTTGTCCAGAACAGCTCTGATGACACCAACAAAACAGTAATTACTGAAAAGGTAACAAAGCCCGATCCGAGAGCCATAAACGCCCTCCTCCCTGGCTTAAAACCTTTGCTCAACATCTCTAATAGCCATTTCATTCTGAACTGTGTATTGTGTATCCCAGTGTGCCAGGAGTTATCCCGGGAATGCTACACGGAGCATGGGAAGAGCCCCCAGGCCAGCTGCAGGGAGGTGATGAGCACCTGCTGCATTGCACCACCAGGTGCCCTCACCCCTGATTCCCCAGCACCCTGCAGCTGAAAGGTAAAAGCATGTGGCAAAGGAGAAAGGGCTGTCGAGAGAGGAGAGCGGGTTTTATCGCAGGCTGCGATGGGAAGCTGCCAGGAGAAGCAGAGGAAGGAGCAGCGGCAAGGAAAACGGAGCAGCAGAAGCACCCCCTGCAAAGCAGCTGCCGGGCCCTCCCAGCACAGCAACCCCGCGTCCAGGCACCTGCCCAGATGCAGCACAAGCAAGCACACAGCCCAAAAATAAAACATAAAAGCCTCAGCAAAAACAAATCCCCAAAGGCACCACGTTTTTTTTTAGCTTGCATATTTTTTAATGAAGTAAAAAAAAAAGAAAAATAAAATAAAGAGACGCTCCACTGAAGTTGTCAGCTTGGCACAGATCTCCACAGTGCATCGAGGGCACCAAAGTCACCGTGCAATTGGCAATTGCAGACACTCGTCCCCCTGCACCCCCCCACAAAGTGAGCCTAAGAAAGCAGCAGATGAAAAGCACACGACCGATACAGCACAAGCAACAGAATAACAGCACTGCAGCTCCCCGTGCCCGGGTTTTAGCCAGGAATGGGCGAACTGCTATGGTTGAAATAAGAACTGAACAGACTTGACATGTCCAAATTAAAAACAGCAATGATAACACAGTCCCCTTGAGAGCTGCACCTTGAACACACCCCCAAGCCCAGAGATCATTTTTGGTGGCTTAAAACTTTTTCTTTCCTTGTCACACAGTCTGTGCTCTGGGGTCCCAGCCCGGGTGGCAGCAGCAGCAGGGACTGACATTGGCAGAAGCTGCTCTTGGTGGCTGCTGGCACAGCCAGAGGCCGGAAAGATTGGCAAACTCAGCTGGAACCTGGCCTCAGGATTTCTTGCCCTTCTTTTTTTTTTTTGCCCTTCCCTAAAAGCCACGGCAAAGGGAGAGTGGAAAGGCTGGGTGTTTGTCAGCTTCAAACCCCAGGGCTTTCACCCACTGAGAGCTTCTGCAAGCAAAGCTCCTGCTGTCCCTGTAAGCAGGATCCTCCTTATTCTCTGCCTTAGGTTTATACACATTTACATAGAGATATATTTGATAAACATTTTGTATGAAAATAAATATTTTATCTGTGTTTTAAGGACCATTGTCACTCTCATCTATTCACCTGTGCTAATGTTACATCTTGTCTTTGTCCTTGACAATGCTGTTCCCATTGCGTTGTTCCTCACCTACAGACACCATCTCCCTGCCTCTTCTTGGGGCAGCAGAAAGCCCCCCAGGAGGTAGGGATGGACCCTTTGCCAGCTCCTCTTTTAACGTGCTGACTGCCTGGGTTTGGCTTGTGCTAGTGAAATTTATGAGGAAAATGCTTCCCTTTACAGCACCTGTTTCTTTGTAGGAAAAAAAAAATAATAAAAAAAAATCTTCCTCTTGGAAACACTTTAAAAAGAGCAAGGCTTTCACATCCCCTTCCAGGACTCTCAGTTAAGAAATATATTTATAGATAGCACTGTTTATATAGATATAGGTATAGGTTTTATTTAATTTTATTACCAACCCAACATTTCAATTTGCAGCCATTGATGTAATTCATGACATACTCTTGTTTGTTTTTGTTTGTTTGTGTTCCTTTAAAAAGAAATGCACTTCAAATGAAAAGGGTGCCCTTTTGCCTGTCTGGTTTTCCGAGGATGTGCTGGAGGTGACGCAGGACTCCCGGGGCGGGCGGCAGGTCTGAAGCCCGTACCTTTCCACGGACTGACGGCTGCTCGTGAGACGCGGGCACTGCGAGCATCGGGATGGCAGCCGAGTGAAACAGCAGCCGTGACACAGCTCAGGCCGGCCATGTGGGACAATACCAGCACTCTTTTGGGGCTTCCCTGTTGTCCTCCTGCCTTTATTTCCCTGTAGTTTTGGTGTGGCATTCTCAGGAGCCGGATGGTCACTGCTGGGGTGACGGGTGGGGACAGGGACCCTGCTCCTCCTTGCAAACCTGCATATTTAACTCAGCCTAGAAGGAAAGCTCTGGGGACACTGCAGAGGCTTCCTGCTCACTCAGGTAGGCCAGAGCAGCACGTTATCACAGGGACCCACTCCCATCTCCAGGAGGAGGACCACTGCACCATCATCAGGGAGCCTGTGCCAGCTTCCCCGGCTCCCTGGCTCCCCGGCCCCCCGGCAGGCTAGTTCTGTGCAGCTGTTTATTTCCTTACCATTTGTAAATGAACATAATTTCCTCTCCCTGCAGTACAACAAGCTCAAAGTTAATTGTACAAAGAGAAATGCCATAGTCAAAATACACATGATACGTATTATATTAGAGGGTTGGGTTGTTTGGTTGTTTGTTTTTCCTCCTTTTTTTTTTTTTTCTTAGCCCAGGCAGGTGATTGAGATGCTACATGCTCCAGCCTTCATCACGGAACTTGTTTGTGTGTGTGTGTGTGTACGTGTATGTGTGTGTTTGTATTAAAAATATATCAGTCTTGTGATGCTCTTAAAAAAGAAATAAATGGAAGGAGGTGGGGGAGGAAATGGGTGAGAGTGAAAAAGTTCTTTGACGGTGTCAGTCTTTTGTGGCTTCAAAAAATACATGTTCAATTCCAGCACTGACGGCAGCTTGAAGCTTTAGATCTTAAACTTGTAACATTTTTTCTGTTTGAGTAGTAAAAAAAGAAAAAAAAAAGTACCAAGCTATGTGCCCCCCCCAACCCAAAAAGCAATAAGCAAAAGAAAAAAAAAATCAAATTCCTGATCAGACTTCTGCAATTCCCAAACAGTAAAAACAAGAAAGCATCTCCTTACGGTGGAGGGGTGCTCAGGAGAACGGGAACAAGAACCTGCAGGAAAGGAGGCCCTTAGAGATGGCTGAAACTTCTTAACCTCATTGACTGGGGTCAGTGGCTGGGTTTACTTTGTTCTATTTTATTTAAACACTTGCCATTGTCGCTTTTTTTTTTTTCTTTTGTATCATTTTCAGGGTGGTTTTTTTTTTTTTTTTGTGGATTTTTGTTTTGTTTTGTTTTTGTTCTGTGAGGGTTTTGCCCATCCTGGCACCCAGCTGTCCGACTGTCCGGGCAGCGGACTGACAGCCGTCCCTCCTGGTGAAACCGTGCTTCGAGGGCCGGTGTCCCGTGAGGTAACGGAGGAGGGGGTCCCTCCCCCGGCGGCACCGTCCCCCCACCGCCTAAAACCCCTTGATGTAGCAATAGGCCTCCAGGGTGGCGAAGAGGATGTACAGCAGCCACAGGCTGACGAAGAGCAACGTCGTGGCCAGTTTGCAGCCCCGGGGGCCGCCCAGCTCCCCCCCGAGGTGGGGCCGCCGGCGGTAGAGGAGGACGCTGATGCAGATGAAGGCGAAGATGGTGAAGAGGGTGACGGAGAAGGCCAGGGTGCCGGCCGACACCTGGAACTCCTGCCCCTGCGACGCCCAGTAGATGGCCGCCACCGACCACGCCAGCCCGATGCCCAGGAAGACGTTGACGGCGTTGCTGCCCGTGACGTTGCTGATGGAGGCGTCGGCGTACACGTCCTGGATGGCCGCGGCTTTGCTGGCGAACGTGTCTGCAGGGTGAGGAGGGAAGGAGGAATCACTGGGGTCCAACAGAAGAAATGGCCAACCCCCCTGCCTGAGGGACAATGGAGGCTCAGGCATGCCACCTGAGCTGGGACATGGATCCCGACCCTCTCTGGACCACCCAGCCCCTCCCCACAGCCTCCCCACCTGGTACAGAGGTGCCGAAGGCTACGAACACGACGGCGGTCACCGAGTCCTTCAGGCCGATGGTGCAGCCGAAGTGGGAGGCGAGGTCGCCAATGACGGCTGTGAGCATGCCGATGATGAGGATGGAGACGACGAAGCAGGCCCAGCCGTTGCAGTACTCAGTGGGGGGCACACAGGCAAACAGCACCTTCCAGAAGACGGTCAGGAAGTGCATCACGTAGTCGAAGCAGGATGGCAGGCGCTCCTCGCCCGACTCATCCTCATCTTCATCACCCGCTGCAAGCAATGTGGAAGAAGAGGTCTGCCTCATGCGATGGGGCATCTACGTGGCCACCCACCCCTGCTCCAGAGCACGGGTTGATTGCCAGCACGGCCCCCGCAAGAAGCTTCACATCTGCATGAGGGTATCAGCAGCAGTGCCTTGGAGGCGTCCCTCCTTAGCCTCATGGAGCAGGTCAGCCAGAGGCTGGAAGCACTGCTGGTCTTTGTGTGGATACAGGATGATGGAAATAAATTAAGGAAACAGAAAGTAGAGAGTATGGGGCAGATAGCACGGGAAAGGGAGAGATGGAGGAAGAAGGAAGCTGTCCTGGGAAAAAGCATTGCTCCAAGGATGGAGACACTGTTTCCACAGGAGCAGTTTCTCTTAGTTGCTAGAGGGAAGTAAAGCAAATACCCTGCTTCTCTTCTTTCACTTCTAAGGAAGCCCTTCTGGCCACTGGTGAGAGAACACCACACACCCAACAGCCGGGCATCCCTGACGAGGCAGATGCTGTCTGCTGAGCCCAGACACAGCTCGTCCCAAGCTGGGGATGCTGGCGTGGGTTTGCTGATCTCCCCCTCACCTGCACTGACGGTAATGGCCTCCATAAACTGGTCCCTCCAGGAATGTGTCCCTACAACCAAAGCCAGGTTTGTCTTCTTAATCAGCTTGTCCACGGTGCTCTGTTGTGGGAATAAAGATGCACAACAATTGAACCATCAGCTTGTGGGCAAGGTCCCTTCCCAAACTATGGAGGTGCAACAGGCACTATCTTACCAGCCAGCTCCATGCCTGGAGCTGGGCCCACCCATACCTCTCCCACACATGACCCATACTTCACCAGAGTCTGCTTGTTTGCCACCCGTTACTCCAAACAAAGCTTCTTCCCTCACCCCTGCCTCACTAAGGACATCTTTGCTCCTGTCCTCTCCTGCATGCTGGCATCTGCTTGTGCTCCCTATGTCTTCCTCCCTTCACCCCTGCCTACCAGCAGCTACATCCACTCCATTGCATTGCACACTCCTTTTCCTCTTCCAGCAGCCTTTTCCCTGTACACTGTGGCCACCCTCTGCCTCCTCAGTCCTGCTCTTCAGCGCTGCTCTTCCCTGCCACACAGCTCTACCCTCCTGGAAGACCCCCTGGGCCAACCACTGACCTTGAACTCATAGGACTCCTCAATGATGACTTCTAGTTTGGGATGTTCACCAAGGATTGGTTTGCCCATCTCCGCAATCCTTTTGGCTTCCTCCTCTTCGACCGTCAGCTTCCTCTCAGCCACCTCTGCAAAAGCAAGGTCAACACTAAGCTGCAGCCAGTGGCCCTCGGGCACCAGGACACTGTAGGGGCTTGGGGCCTTCTGCAGCCCCTGTGCAGCTCGCTGACCTCACGCAAGGACTTGGGGGGGCAGTGTGGGGTGCTGGGCCACAGAAATAAAGGCCCAAGATTTATGTGTATCGGTTAGTCACTGAGAACATATCTATCTTGGTCTTATTTTTAAAAACACACACATTTCCTCAGCCTGCATTGGTGCTCTTGGATGACATACGCCCTCCCATCACCTCTGCTACACTTTTGGTGAGAGTGAGGTACCACGCACCCTGCCATTTGGCACATGCAGCCTTTAAGACAATTTCAACATCCTGGCATGCTTCCTGGCTTGAACGAAGAAGAGAGAGCAGCTTTTTATTCCCCTCTGATTAGAAAATCACTGTTGGCACTCTGTGCTGCTCAGTGCTCGAGCTAACCCTCAGAGAGACACACAGTCACAACCTGAGAGGCACCACAACAGAACAGCATCTCGTTCTGCCTGAGCAGTGGGCCAGATGTTGCCCGAGGCTTCCTGTAGAGTTTACAAACACCCCAGGTAATGCCTCAGATATGATTAATCCCATGTGGAGTCAAGCAGATCTCACCAAAAATCAGACAGAACAAATTATAACCTCCCAGTGGAATCTAGTTATAAACTCTGCCTTCTCTTCATCAGCCCTGCTAGATTGATTGCAGACACTGTAAGCCTTGCAGGACTTGCAGAGTTTATAAAATATATAAGAACTCCTATGTCAGGTGGCATTACTATATCCCATCACAGAGGCAGAAACAACTACATCCATCATTTGAAATCAATGAAGTACATCAAAAACATCACTGCCTACCACCACCTACAGCAGATTTGAGAATCCCCAAAAGTTTACGAATCCTGACAGAGACAGAGGAGCAGAGCAGCTGGAGCAAGGCAGGATGGCAGAGGGTGACTGCAGGAGAAGGCCAAGCAGCCACAGAGGGAAGGAGGTGGCTGAGATGGAGGTGAACCTGGACAAAAAGTTACGTTTGGAGGCATGGACTGATGATCGCTGAGGAAAAAACTCCAACTACTTATATTCACTTAAGCATTTAACATCAGTTGCCACGGCACGTCCTTGTCTTACCCCACCTGAGCCCCACCACAGCCTGCAGCTCAGGAAGGAGGTACCCCCAGCTCTGCAGGGCCCAGCATGGCAGAGAGCCCAGCATGTGCTGGTGTCTGCTGACACTGCTCTGAGGAAGGAGCACAGCAGCCACCCCAGCAGGGCTGCAAAGCCCAGATTTGGTGACAATCTGGCTCACTACAGCCGTCCCCGGGAAGTACCTTCATCTGAAAAACTACGGGTCGCAGCTGCCAGCATGGCCCCTTGGGCTACTGCCCACCAGCTGCAGTCGCACAGCACAGAAAGTCAGTCAGAGCTGCCTGAAAACTGGGAATCTCAGACTGAATTTCCCCAGCTTAACAATCACAGGAGAAGCACTACAGCAAAGTCCCAGTCCCCACTTCAACTGATTGGACAAAAGCCTTTGACCTAGTAAAACAACACGGAGTCTCATGCAAATATTAGCCATCTTCTAACATGTCTCTAAGTGCCCGCACTGCAGAATATGCTCTCTTCCCTGTAGGGAGCAGCATCAAACATGGATTTATCTCAGAACCTGTCACCTCACTCATGCTGTTTGATGTGGCTGTGCCAGAAGATGTGAAATCCTCCTCTGAGGAGGACCTGCCCGCTCTCTTCTGACTGCGTGCCAGGCCCCGGGCTGTGGGGCTGCGTGTGTCCATGGCTGGTGGCAGGACTTCAGCTGATGGTAGGTGGCTTTGTTGCCTACATAAGCCACTGGCAGATCACCTACTGATTTGATGAAAATGGCAAGTGCTTGCCAGGCAGCTCTTAGAAGAGAGTGAATGGACAGGTCCATGTCCAGCAGTGGACAGAGAGCTTTGGTGATCCCTGGGCCGGGCACAGTGCAAGCGCTTGGTGCAGGCACTGCAGGGAGACCATCTAGAAATTAGAAGTAAAGGTGTCGGTGCCTACCACAGCACCGAAGGGCTGTGGGATGTGCACTATTCAGAGGATGCCTTGTCAGCAGAAGTGCCACCAGAGGCACCTTCAAGCCTGAGGACACTTCAGGCGAAGCAATGAGCTGACCAGCGATGGACCTGCGGCCTGCTGACAGCATGTCCAGGAGACCTGAGTAATGGAGGCTCTGCTGTCACCACGCAGCTTCTCTGTGGTGAATACAGCAAACCAGGGCACAGAGAGGAGGCATGGTCGCCCAAGAAGGCACGTCAAGATCTCCTGTGGGGGCAGTTAATTGAATACTGCTCCAAAGCTGAGCCTTTCAAATGCTTGGTGCAAGCAAACAGCAGGGAACAGGCATAGGCAGCATGTCCAACTGGGTAGCTCACAGAAATGTTAAAAGAGGAAGCTTACAAATAGTGTAAAAAGGAGGTGATTCCTGCATGACTCATTAAAAAGTAGAAATACTTTCAAATGTGCAACCTGTTACGCTAAGTACAGAAACCTAACAAACTTCAAAGGTGATTTTGAAAATGTTTAACCCGAGTCTTTTTACCCTAATGGGAGATACAACCTGAACCTGTGGAGTCTGTCTGTTCCCATGGGATGCTGAGGACTGAGTTGAGCCCCATGTGCAGAGATCCAGCTGCTAAAAGGGAATAAACTGTTAAAACATCCCAGCAGCAGAGCACACCTCAGGGAAGGGGACAGCGAGGTCCCAAGGGCCTTGCCTCATGGTTGCAGCCATACTAGCAGACTAAAAACTCCCAAAAGGTCTGATGTGCTAGAGGAGAGCTCACAAACCTGTCTTGTACAAACATCTAGTGGCCAGTACACTCACCCAGGGCAACAGGGACCTGATTCCTCATCAATTTGATATTTAGATGGATGCTCCTGCCTTTCAGGGGTGGCTCTTACCCAGCAGCACTGCAGGAGGCTGCTGCCTCTGCCAAAAACACAGGGCATGCCCTTCCTCCCAAGGAAACAAGTGTGGAGAGGGGGTCGTGAGGGCTCCTCCAGGAAGCAGGGACAGGTGAGGTGTGTCACACATCGCCCAGGGGTGCCAGCCTGCAGAGACCACCAAGGGCTGGGACAAAGAAGGCACAGGAGGAGGGTGGATGGGAGAGACAGGCTTAATTTTGGAAGGTCAAGTCTGCCAAGGTGAGCACTGCCAAACTGCAGCTTAATTATTAACTAGCATGAGTTCTGTTTGTATCAGCACCAGCACCTGCTCTTCAATGCGGATTGCACCCAGGACTCCCAGCTGTCAACCCCAGTTAAACCTGACGAGGTCTGGGTATGCCCAGGAGGAACAGGAGTTCACCAGGGCCTCCTGGGCTGCCATCACCTCCTCCCTGGGGAAGGTGGGGGTGGTGGGGCCTCCTAAACCCTGCCTGCACTGGATTGCAGGTCTGTGTGACCATCAGGTGATAACAGCCCGCCCAGGCTACAGGAGATGTGCAGGCTGCTCAGGCGATGCCAGCTGGGGCTTGTGCACCAGGTGTCGCATGCAGGTACCTGCTCCTCGTGCTAGGATGCTCATCAGGAGATGCTACCAGCAGTGGAGAGCAGCAAGGCTGGTAAGGCAAGGGCAGGAAGGACAATGCAGCCCACGTTTGCCCATCCTGTAGCAATGGCCACAGCTCATACCCAACGCTTCCCAGTGGGAAGTGAAAGAAGGTTTTTGGTTAAATTCCTTCATGCTCCCAGTTGTTCTGCCCCATTCAGAGTCAGTTCAGCACTAAGGTGGGGCAGATGGGGGGCCAGCAGCTCCTGGTCATGGTCCCAGCCCTTGCCTTGGGCATGTCCCTGCCGTGCTCACTCCTCGGCTTGCTCACCCGCATGAGAATGATGTGCTCCTGCAGGGACACCCTGGGACTTCATCTGCAGTTATCTGCAAAGTGCTTTCATATCTCCACGTGACAAGCAGTTTCTTGGGCTGAAAATGCTGTAAACAGATCCCCACTTGCTGTTATTTCTCCCTGAGGAAAGGGGAAAGCAGAGCAGTTTCCATGCCATGCACTGCCCCTGGCAGGTACTACCTGCATGCTTGCTTGCTCAACTCCCTTCAGGGGCCTGGGAGCTGGACATTGCCTGTGGCCCGCTGGACACAACATAAATCAGAGGTAGATAAAGCCCGTTTCCACGGCTTTTGTGCTGAAGCAGGCAACAGCAAGGCCCCGTAACACTGCTAGAGAGGTAGATCCCTATCACCTAGGAAATGCTGCAAGACTACCAAGCAGCTGTGGGCTGGTTTGTATTCCCTGTCACTTGCTGAATAAATTGGATTAAAACCAGCAATGTATTCATGAAAGACTTCTCTGAAGGCCATTTCGCACCCCTCGAGCTATCTCGTATCCATCCGTTTCTGGAGTGGGCATGGATCTGCATGAAGGTCACCCCTTCTGGGGACTGCGCTGCTAGGAAGAAATTAAAACGACAATTAAAATGGGATTTTTGTTGTGGCTCAATAAAATATAATCCCGGCTAAACAAAGTAAACACTGAGCATGAATGAGCTCCTCTCTCCAGAGGGCTGTCAATCCGTCAGTCACAACTGGGGAAGACTGCTGGCTAAACGACATGCTGGCTTTGGAGGTTAGCATATTGATGTGCCCTTTAAAGAAACACACACACACACACACAGCCTGTGCCGCTTTCTAAAAATGGGAGGAATCTGCTTACTTAGCCCTGAAAGCTATTTCTGAGGCATGATGCACCCAGTACACATGCCCTAGTGTCCTTAATGCTAACTGAGAAACTGTGCATCCACGAGAGGAGGGCTAACACGCGGCTAAACCACAGGACAGGGAGCCGTGCGTTATTTCACTGCTGGCTCTGCTCTAAGATCGATGTTGATGTGACCGTCCCCGACAGCTCTGCTCCCCAGCCTTCCCACTGCAAAGTGGACATCAGCCACATAGCTACACATACGGAGAGGGGGCTCATGAGTTTCAAGGCACGAAGAAACATATTTATAAATATTTCCCTTGATTTGGCTGAATATGCTGAAGTGAGGGCATGTATGTAGCTAATGTTTTCATAATTCCTCATACCTTTAAGGATCTGAACATCCTGAGCCCAATTACTAGGGACAACTGGTATCAAATATTTCCCCATATAAAGAGTACAGAGGGGGGTCAGTGCCGGTGCCAACACAAAAGGTTATGCTTCAGAGAAGGTAAAAAACTACCAGGTGTGACCCTCCAGCCACCCCACAGCCACCCTGAACCGCTCCAGTTCTCTGCAGCCCCCACAGCTGGCACCGGGCATTTTGTGAAGCAAAGCTTTCGGAAGGTTTGCAGCCTTCCATCAGTGCACAGGAGGGCCAGGCAGCGGCAGAGGGGCATGGAAGATGCTCCAGGAGGGAGAGGACGGACAGATTGCAGCGAAACGCTCAACCAAGCCCTTTTCACAAAGATTCCTGCGCTTCCATGTAACCTAAATCTAACGTGACACGAACTAAATGAGAACGTCACTTCTCTCCCCGCTTATTAGGCGTGATGGCTGCTGAGTGACACCCCAGCGTGCGCGGCGGCTGAGCCCAGACCCCAGCTGAGCGCCTGCCATGCACCCCACGGGCACCCCGGGCATCCCAGCAAGGAGGGTGGCGGGGGGCTGGCACCCCAGAGACCTCCCCCCGTCATGGCCAGAGAGGAAGCTTTTCTCTGTTGCTGGAGAGCAACTTTCCTTAGCTGGCGACCACGTCATCCGGCAACAGCTGCCAAAAGCAATCAGGCCGGATCACAACAGCAGGAGAAAGTTATATTATTTTAATACAGATTATTTGGTTCCTGAGGTTCTGATCAAATTAGGCAGCTACTGAATTAAAGCAATGAAATTACTGTGAAGGAGGCCGTGCTCAACTTATTTCCAGTCCTCCTGGACCTGAAGAAGTAACAAAGGAAGCCATCCAAACTGCTCGGAGGAGGTTTCCATAACACCCTAAGCTGATATTTGGGGAGCTGGGGACTTCTGTCTGCCACTAGCAATTTCCTAATTAGCCTCATCTCCTGTGGGCTCGGGCCATCCCCTGCACAGCAGCCTTGGCATCCTCCTGAAAGTCTCAGAGACAGAAGCTTGCACTGCAGAGACACTGCTCCCTTGGTTTGCACAGCTCAGGTGTTACGCACAGCTTCTAAATCTGGGGGGGTTGTTTTTCCAAGTCTGCATGCAAACCTGACAGCTCCTCCCTGCACCCTGCATGCCTGTTGACAAATGTTCCTTTAGTGCAAATTCAGCTGTAATCATACCTGGAATTGAAAGAGTGAGAAAAATACAGGATGCCAAGAGAGACCGGCATGGTGGGGATTTCAGGCAGAGAGGTGGGATTCAGTACTAATAAATGTAAAATCCTGCTGTGATAGGAGGCGAGGAGCACAGAGCTGGAGCTGGGGTGGAGGGGAGTGGTGCTGATGCGCATCACATCCTAGAGGTGCTGCTGGTGCTGGGTGCCCCCCCAGGTGCCTGCCCCAGCCAAGGAGCTCCACAACCGCAGGAAAAGCTGGGTGCATTGGGAGGACCAACTCCCCAGGCTGCCCAAAGAGAGGGCAGAGTCAGGGCCAGACCTGCAGGGTCTGCCTTCCAACCTGGTTGGGACATTTCCCAAAACTGCAGGGAAATTTCTGGAATTGGGGAAAGGCTCCCAGACATCAACCACTGCCATGGTCTTGACACATCGTTCTGGAGGGAGCACCTGGAGCTGGAGGGATCCCCGCACACAACAAATGCCAACAGAAGAGGCTGACTGAAGAAGATGAGAACAGAGGCAGAGAAGGAAGAGAAAAAGAGAAAAAGCAGTCTTACCTTGGGTGAGCAGCAGAGCTGTGCGGAGAGAAGAACGACACAAGACAGAAAGGGAGAAAGAAGAAAACAGGGAGAAAGTTAATATCCCGCCGGAAAAAGCAGAAGCTGCTTAGCAGAGGACAACGTTCAGTGAGCGATGGCCATGGCTCAGTGCGGTGTGCGAGCTCCCCAGGGCCGCATGCCAGGCACAGGCTGGGGAGCAGACCCCGCGGCAGCGAGATGGAGATGATGCTGGCGAGCACCGCATCAGTGCTCTGGCTCCCAAAAATCACCCCTCAACCCCCCGAGCAAAGGCAGGAGGATGGGATGCAGGTGGGCAGTAGCAGGGAGGGGAAGGGAAAGAAGTGGGGGGACAGTCACGCTTGCCATTGGGGCCTGACATGACCCAAACTGCAGCTTGCTGAGAGCCTCAGCTAGGGGAGGTGTTGATAAAATGGGTGCTGGCCTCAGGGCCAGTGTGAGGGAAGGGGTAAGGTGGCTGTGCATCGTCCCCACGGATGCCCTGGTGTCCCTGGCCTCTCCTGTGCCTCACAGGTGCTAAGAGGGGCACAGGCAGGCTCAAAGCATCACAGCGTGGGGTCTTCCTGGCTCTCCTCGCTCCCAGCCTGCCTGACAGAGCTGCACGGGGGTGCAGCTGCCTCCTGGCACATGTCACCACATGGTCCCGCGAGGATGGAGGTGGGAAGAAAGCGGCATGGAGGTCCCTGTGAGGGACAAACCTACCCTGACTTTCCATATGCTGGCTCCCCTGCCTTCATTTCCACGGTTGTCCCAAAGAAACGTCCTGCTGGGTCCCTCCTAGGCATCCCCCTAAAATGCCACAGCCTACGCCCAAGTTCCCAAGTAACTACCCTTCAGTCTGTATGGGGTATCACACAGCAAAATAACCTGAACCCTCTCCAAGAGGGGCGAGCACTGTGCCTTAGCTTTGACTTCTACCTGTCCTTCAAACAGCAAGCTGGTCTCTGAAGACTGGGTTGCATGCTATGACAGTACTGTAATTACTAACACTTATTATCACACACTTTTAGTCTCAGAAGCTTAAAACTCTGCACAAAGACTGAGTCAGTATTAACATCCCCATTTGACAGATGGTGAAACCAGCAAAGAGAGGCTAAAGGGAACATTTTGCAAACTCAGAAGTGGGCAGGAATCCAAAAGCGCTAATTTACCCAGGCTTGCCGGCTCAGGCCTCTGAGAAGCAGGCACTTTTACACGGAGGTACCTAATTTTATCTACTCTGGTTGGAAAGTGATTTCCTAAGCAATTCGTCAAAGGTCGCACAGCACATCAGCGGCAGAGCCAGGAAAGTGATGCTGTGCCCTGGCTCTCAGGCACTCCTGTGCGCCGTTGGAAACCCTTCCCTGCAGGCTGCAAAGAGGCAGCAGAGCGGGCAGGACCAGCTGTGTGGTTCGGCACTACCAGGAAAGCACCAGTGCCCTGCACATCAGCCCAGAGTCACTACGGAGCCTGGCAGCAAGTGGAGATGAGGAGGCTCCTTGCTGAGCATCCCTCGTTTTTCAGAGACAGTTCCTTTCCAGAGTCAAAAACCTCTGGAGGAACCACTTGTGAATATGCTCTGCAGCAAGTACAGTACCACAGAGCCACGGGAAGCAGTGGGGTATTTGCTCTGACCGCACAGTCTCCTGTCCTCCATGGGACTTTGTCTGCAAGTCTCCAACAGGCCTGTCACAGCGTGAATCTGGAGGCTCCTCGTAGCTCTGTCCTGCTGTGGCCTCCTTCCTCTTCCACGGTCTTCTGATTCTCCAGACAATAGGGGAAAATTTACTTTGCCTTTTGCAATTGCAAGCATTAATACAATGGGTCAACTCAGTGTTCAGATTTAATATAATGAAATATTACTGGGCCCCTAAGCTACTGTGGTTATTAAAAAAAAAGACATTGATTCCTCATGTTTTTTAAAAATGTTATTCTAGTGCTCTGGGATTTGAGTTTATTTTTTTCCCATTTGCTTTTGAGCCTGCAAAAGAAGTATTTTTCTCCCTTTCACTTATGATATGATACATGAATATTTGAAGAAGCCTATAAAGCTATGAATGAAACATCAAGAATATAGCATGCAGAAAGGCAAGGGATTATTTTATCTTTATATTTCTGAGTGAATGCTGTGCATGCAAGCAAGAAAATGATTTCACGGACTAAAGCTTCCTTCCTGCACACGCATCTGCTAATGTGCCCTTAGTCCTGACCTGTAACATTTCCTGACAGTCCATCTGGGGATGCTGCACCTGCACCAGCTCCCCTGACAGCCCCTGTGCTCTTCCCATCCTACAAACCTCCCTCTGCTGCCCTGCTCTGTCCTCATACACCTCTCCTCCTTCTTCATCCTTGCTGTGTCACTCCCCAGGCCCCAACCAGGCCACCTCGGCACTTGCTATTGGCATCTCAGGTAGCCTCAGAGGGTTGGCCAGCACATTCTTATAGGCAGCTGCTAAAATCAGTTCAGTAGCCAAATTCAAAGTCGCAGTGCCAAGTACCCCGCACCCAAACCTTGCACAGCAGGAGTACAGACGAATACCCGTGCCTGGCAGGCTCTAACCATGCTTTTCCCTGGATTCTCGGGAGACTCAAAGCCTTGCCTTCAAAACACAAAGAGAATGGCAGGCATATGCTGAAGTGAGCAAGCATGGAGGAGTGATACATGGGTAAAACCACTCAAGCTCGTAGTGCTGATGGATGCAATGCTTCACGTTTCCTCTTTGAGCCCAGTCTCTGTAGTTGCTGCTCTGCAGGAACCCCTCTACTGGTGTGAACCCCTGAATGAGCTGACATGGCTTGCTCCAGAAGCAAGTGGGCTGGGACCAAAGAATTTAGACCTGAACTTAGCTGCTAATAAGCCAATGTACTTAGGGGTCAAATTCTGCTGTGACAGGCATATTGGTGTGGTTCACAGATCAGGGACTGCGTTCTCTCCTGCCTCAATTCCACTAAGCACAAAGAACAAGAAGGACTAAAAACAAGAGGAACGAGCTTGGGCTGGGAGCAGACCAGAAACAGGACAATCCTGTAATCTACAGCAACTGGGTGTGCTAGGTGTCTGCCACAGATGTTTTCTAAACAATCAATACCTTTTTTCTGCTGTTTGTACCTCACAGAGAGGTTTGACCACATTGCATGATTTATTCTAGCCTTGCTCCTGATTAACATAAATCTTCTCTAATCAATGTACCTAAGACAGGAAGGCACTGTGTGGATGAGAGGATCCTCACAGGTGGTTAAACACCCGCTACTTACAGAGTGAACAGACATGAGGGTGGCTGTGGATTTTGAGGGGAGCCCCCGTTACACACAGCACAGGCACAAGGCAGCAAGAGGAAAGGTGAGAGCATTGCTCTGGCTCCAGATAGCGCTGAGGTGAGTGAACTGTTTCCCTAAAGGACTGTGAAGAGCTACGAACATGTATTTTTCATAAGATAAGCAAGGTGGAGCTTTTCCAGCTTTAGCCTGAATCCTGTTATTATTGAAGTCAATGGCAAAGACTCCAAGAAACAGACCCTGATCCTTTCTGTCCATTAGGAGAATTAGCAGCATTCAGCTTAATCACAGAGCTGCAAGCAAAATATTAAACCCTCAGAGAAAAAGGCAGCAGAAATCTAGCATTTTTCTGCTATTCCCATAGCAGCTGATGGAAGAAGACTCTGCTCACACCTCAGCAAACTGCAGTGCACGTTCTCACACGTCGATGAGGCTTATCCTATCCAGGCATGGACCTTTGTACCCAGTTACATCATCACCAATATTTTGAAACAGATAACTCAATTGGATCAATGCAAATGAGGAGCCCATCTTTCTTTGCAGTTTAATCCTTAACTCTGACTTCCAGCCACATCCATCCTCTGAGCCATGAAGCTTTCCTGTATGGTGTGTTGACACTCAATTAAATGGAGATGCGTCAGGAGATTCGTCCACACCACTTCACTCAGTGCTGCGAGGCTTGAGGGGATTTCAGACAAAATCTTCCCAAGCCAGGTCATGCCAGCCATCTGTTTAATAGTGCTCACCAGCCACCTGTGCTCCCACTTCCAGAGAAGTCATATCTTGTAGTCATATCATGGTTTCGGAAGCAAAATTTTGCATGAAGGATGTCTGTCCCTTTTACAGAGTGCAATGCTCTGCAGTCAGTGTTCAGGCACCATCCCTGGGGCTGAATCTTCTATCGTTGTGCCACTAGCTGGATTCTCATGAGCAGATTCCCAATTACCCTCATGAAAGGTAATTTTCCAGATGCTATTTTCACCATTATCTGCTATCGAGTGAAATCTTCCAATGTAGCCTCACTTGCCACTGGGGCTTTATCAACCCTAAGGTTAACCACAATATAAGCAGAAGGCTGGCTTTTTCTAGGGAAAGCAAAGCCAGTTTAGCTCCTGTAATCCAGGGCTGTGGACAAAGTGTGAAAGCTAATGTGTGAAGAAAGTAAAAACAGGCTGGATTTCTCTGAAATCCTGCAGGGCTGACAGCAGCAAAAACCTAGGTCTGAGCTGAGGGTAACGTGAAATGATACCAGAGCTGCCATGGGAGTAATGGTGAAACTGAAAGATTGCATCTTGACCTAAAGGGAATGACTCGTTTCACGGCAGAAACACTTTTAAAAGGTGCTGGAAAAAGGTTGGCCAGAAAAGTGGCTGAGGGTGTGGGGAGGTTTCAAAGTCCTGCAGTGCTCAGCAGGCAGTGATTCAGTTTAGAACTGCACATGCGGAGGAAAGGTGACACAAGAAGGATCCAGAGATTAATTTCTTAGAAAAAAAGATGACAAAAATAAAAATCGGGAAACCTGGGAGATGGCCAGGAGGATAGAAAAAAGCTACACTCACTCTTACCCTCCTTGCCAAGCAAAGAACATGATTCTCTCTGATTTCTTTGTATTTATTCACTTCAATATAACTAGCTTGCACCAAGTGCCATCTTCGCCAGTGCTCCTTGCACCTGATGTGCCACCACAAGAACTAGTATCAGTCTTTCTCATGGAATGGGCTGGCAAGATACCCATCCCAGAGCTATTCTAGCCTCTGAGTTATTTGAGCACCTCAACAGAACGAGCTGCTAAAGTCAAACTGCTCCATGTGATTTATTTGGATGACCAGAAAGTCTTCGAGAAACTCCAGCTGAAGAAAGCAACTGGTGAAAAAGACAATACGGGCTGCCAGACAGGGCTTGGTGCTGCAGACTTGTATATACAGGAGAGGAGCAAAGAATAGGAATTAATGGTCAGCTCCCCTTGCAGCAAAGGTTAACAACAGCATGCCCCTGGGCTCAGAGCAGGTACTGATACAAGTGGGGGTGAGCAGTGAGGAGCAGTCTCTGCAGACAGTGCACAGTGCGCAATATTTCAGTCATGAGGCTCTATCAGTTCGTTATACGGACAGGAGGAGCGCCTGTGTTTACCCTGAAGTGGCTGTCACATGTCGTGAGGGCCCTGAGCAACCTGAAGACTCGTGTCTGGATCACCACAGGCACCTTCCTGGGCCTCAGAGATGTTGCTCCTCTGGGAAGGGGCTAGCAGGTGCTGAAGAGCCAGAGCTATAGGATGAATTCCCTTACAGAAACCTCCTGCAGCTACATAGTCCCAGGCATGCCTTGCCCAAAGGGCATAGCCATTCTGCATCCAAAATAAGCTCTCCAAACTCTGCCCCAGGCCGGTTTGAAGAGCACACATCTACTCCCCTGGTGACTGGCTCACCCAGCTCTGCCTTCCCCTGAGGAAGAGCAGGCACCACATCTCCTCACTCATTTCACCCCAGGCCCTATCTCCTGTCCTTCAGGCCAGCAGCACCTCAGTGAAGTCCCGGGGCAGCTGCAGGCCCCATGACAAAGCCACCACAGCACAGTCCCCACGGGGATGGAGAGGCTGCCCTGTAGGGCCTGGGCAGTGGGCTGCCTCCCAGCACCACGCAGTTAGCCGTGACACACAGCACAATCCAGCTCCAAAGGGGGCCAGAAGAAGTGTTTTGAGGACACCACAAAGCAGTCTGAAAACAGTCTGAAAACATCAAATGCTCCTACAGCACCCTAGGCACAGGCTCAGCATGACGGAGCTAAGCGGGGAGTAACAACAAAATGAGGGCAGGCCGTCAAGAAAACCACATCTTTTGTGGTGCTAGAAAGAAATGCGTGGGTAGCCGAAACCCAGAGAGACAATTCAGCGAAAGCAACCCAGCCTGAACCTCCCAGGAGGGCCGGGAGCCGTGCTTTGCCCTCGCCTTGCGAGTCGTGTGGGGGCCCATTCGTCACCGCAATGAAAACAAGCGAACTCCCAGCTACGTGCTGGTGGTTTGGGACTTTCTTCCCCAGTCTGTGGCTGAATCCCTGCAGCCTCTGTTTGCACAGAGGGGGCTGCTCCGGCCTTGCAGACAGCGGGGCCACACAGCCCACAGGAGTGCTTCAGGCACCCCGCAAGGCAGGAGCACGTGTCTGAGCAGGTGGCTCGGAGTCAGCCTGAGCTTCCCTGCACACCAGCGTGCATGAGGCTGCACAGCGGTACCAGAGCGTGTCTCTGTGAGCACTGAGAGCCCATACACCTCCTGGGCTGCGCCTCTCCGCTGGGAGCTGCCTGCGAGGCAGCGTTTGTCTGTCCCTCCAGATGCTCCCTACCTGGAAGCCTCCCGTAGCTCCTCATTCTTCACCCCAGGCACCGGGCAAGCACGTAGGAGAATCTGCTGGGTGCAGCACTGCAGAGCTCGGGATCTTTCCAGATGCCCTGGAATCGGTGTAGCGACTGTGCCACCTTGTGCCAGGAACACTTACAGATGCATTTTAATCTTGCTCTTATATTCTAAGAACAGTGCTCCTGCTCTGACTTTTCTCTAATGAGGCCAACCATGGCTCTGCATCTCCTCCTCTTCGTGGTCCTGCGCTTCCTGCTGGTAAGCAGAACACAGCCAAGGCTGTGCCCTTACCTCGGGGAGAAGCAGCTGGCCTGCAGGCTCTGTGATGGAGAACAAGCACTCCATCAGATCTCCTCTCTGCTGGTTATGTACCAGACTATCCCACTGACTCCAGTCGATGCTGGTGTAAATGAGATGCGCACAAAGCAACAAACTGGCACCACAGTCCTACAAACAACGAGGACAGGATGTTGCACAGACTGAACCACTTTAAAGGCTGGATTTTTTTCAGGTAAGTGATTTTGTTCAGCCACATGCGACATTGCCTAGACACGAAAAAGAAACTCGGGATTTCACAGAAACCAGCCCAATCCTGACTATATCCTGAAGCTCACTGGTTTCGAGAGGGATTCAGGGCTCATAGACAGCAGACAACTGAGCAGCAACTTCAGTGAGATGCTGCAGGCTGCCAAGTGCCCAGACAGGAGAGAGCAAGAAGCAGGTAATTTCCCTTCTGTACCCACTGAGATGGAGGTGTGAGCCCTGCAGATGTGAAGGGACATGTGTAGAGAGGAGACCCTGGGGTGCTTCTAGGGCTGAAGAAAACATTTTGCAGTCCCATGTTCAAAGGTTTAATCTCCTTAACCTCCCAAGAAGCAATTTAAGTGTAATACAGATAGTGAGCAGGTACCTACACAGAAGGTGCAGCATGCTACACGGTTATTTAATCCAGTGGAGAAAAGCAGGATAACTAGCGGCTACAAGCTGAGGCCAGGCAACTTCTAGGTATGCCCACCCACATCTTTAGGCCGGAGGGCAGGTAACTGCTGGAACATAACCTCATGGGACGTGGCAGCCTGGTCACTGCTGCTGATCAAGAACGAATGCTCATTGAAGTTGGACTTTGGTGAAACCCGAGGGCCTGAGCTCGACACACAGCAAAACCTCATGTCCCTCACTGCCTAGGGGCTGCAGGAGATGGTCTAACAGCATTAAACTGTGAATGCTTTTGAGGTTTACATTTCACAAATCCACAGATGCTATATGACATTGTCATGCTAATGCAAGCTGTGTCTATCCTGAATGTCCTGGAGAGCTGTGCATGGGAGCTCGGACTGGCTGGAGGGTAGTTGCTGTGTTTATGAGATAAGGGACAGGAGACGTTTCTGCAAGGGGAAGCTGTGTGAGGCACAGGCAATTGCCAGATGTTTCCATCACCAGCAGCAATATGTGGGAGCAGAAATAAGCCTGTGGGCACACACAGCTGTCTTTACTCTGTATCAGGTGCCCAGAAGGTAGATTTCAAGTCCTTTTTGTAAAGTGATTCTGTTTAGAGATCAGCCCTCCCTGGCCACCCCAAAGCTGGTGAAGCCCATGGCAAGACTTGTTCAATGAGAAAGAGGTCAAACACGTATAGGAGGACAAAGATACACGTAGGAAAGGCATGACAAAGTTAGGGTTCAGTCCCACTATGATCCTGATCCGCTGGGGTATCCTGGGTCTCAGTGCACCAATGCTGAAGTAGGACATTAACAGAGCTCCACACCCTCTGCCCGACTGGCTGAGGTTGTCTGAGACACATTAAGGTGCTTTTTGGATGAAAGACATGGAGAACCGTTTTTCAAAATAAAAGCAAAATGAGATACCTCACACCTTCCCTCTTCTCCTGGGGGCTTTTCACCACGCCTCACAGGGACCCAAGAGCACCAAGGCAAAGCCACTGGCAGGCAACAACAGAGGGAAGGGCAGGGGGGTGTACGGGACGAGCCGAAGAGGCAGCCATGCATTATGCCTTTCTCTTGTCTTTCACATTCCCCAAGGTCCTGGCAAAGGAGCAGGAGAGGGGAGAACAGCAGAGGTGTGCTCAGAACAAAAACAGACCAAGACAAAGAAACCCAGTCACAATAATACAGCCTCTGAGGCCCAAGCATCGCACGAAAGGAGGATCAGAAGTAAGCTGGGCTCTAAAAGGCAGAGATGACACCAGAACAGGGTGAGAGTGAGAATACAGAAGGGCAGAGAGCAAAAGTCCATCCATCCACAGGAGGAGGAGAAAAGGAGGGAGGGGAAGGAGGAGAAAGAGGGTTATATTTTCTGGATTTGGGGTTTGCAGACTTGATTCTATTTGCTTGTTTTCAATCATTATTTTTTTTTTCATAAGGGATCTCACACCTGATATTCCTCGTTCCATCCATTTCGGTTCACCAAGGGCAATGAAGAAATTCTCCTGCCTTTCGTATTCCTCCTCATCTACTATCTTAACCCTTACGGTCTTCCTGTAGGGACAACAAGAGAGACAACCGTGTACAGCGGGTCGGCCGGCCGGAGGCGACGCAGCAGCAGCAGCGGCGGCAGCAGCACAGGCTCCTCGCATGCAGCCCCTTTGCGGCGGGGCGGCGTGCCTCGGCCGGCCTCGTGGACATGGCACATCGGTCGCAGCTGCTCCTTGGGGAGCGGGAGGGCATTAGGGGGGAGACAGGGCCGGCGAGGGGGTGAGGAGGGAGGGAAGAGGGGGAGTCGGACCTTGCTGATGGTTAGTGGGAGGCGACGTCTGCAGCGCAGTTTTTCGGTGTCACATGGTGATGGAAAGGGTATCGGCTGCCCGGAAATCACCGGGGGCCACGCTGGGGTACCAACTGTGTCTTAGCTGGAAGATTGATTGCTTGTGCTACCCTCACAATTAATAATAAATCTGGAGGGACTCTGGGCTCGCAGCCTGAGAAGAAGAGAGAGAGAGATGCGTACTCGCAGCCACACTCCCCAGTGGGGTGAGGCGGGTCTCTGCTGCCAGGTAGCTCTGCTAGCTGGTATTTCTGATTTCCAGTTTTAAAGCGGCACGTCTTACTGCTTCTCCTCCCTGACACTGCCTGCCTCTCCTCTCCACCTGCTCTCTCCCCTTGGGTGAGGGCCGGGTGATGAGCTCTGGAGCTGCTGGGTGTTTCTGGCCAGCATCTTCCCACCAACACTGCAAAACGTGCCTCAGTCCTTCCCTTCAGCAGGAATACCCATGGAAAAATATTCCCACCGAGGACTGATGGGCATCCTTCTCTCTCTCCATCCCTCGCCACCTGCCCGAGGCCCCCCACCGCCCCTGTCCCCCCGCTCCATGGGTACCATGTGACACGGTGCGTGCGCACAGCAGCGTTTAGGACAGAGCAGTTGGAAACAAAGAGAAATCAGAGGAAGAGGAGGAGAAGAGGAGGAAGGAGAAGAGAGAAGAGGAAAGAAGAATGTTAACGTTAGTCTGGAGGGCCAGTACTACACCTTTCTGTAAACTCATATCCACCATGCGGGGGCTCATCAGCTCAATGAAGAAATTCTTGTTTTTCTCATACTCCTCATCATCAATTACCTTGATGTGAACTGTTTTGCTGTGGACGGAAAAATAATAAGCGTCATAAAGGGGAGAAGAGAACAGAGAAGCAAAGTGGAGGAAGGTTGGGAGGTGAACAGGAACATTAAAGTCAAAGTTTTCTCACCCACTGAATGAGCTCAATCTGGCCCTGAAAAGAGGCTAAAGCCCAGCTGCTGCCGGCAACGCTGGCCGATTTCTGTTTAACCAGCAGGTCCGAAGGCAGGGCCTGAATGAAGTGAGACACAGATGGCTCTGACCCCCTGGCAAACTGGCAAGGGGCTCAGGAACCAGGACTGTGCCATGCAGGAGAGGGGCACGCTTCGCCCCCACTGCTCTCCACATCCACACACGCAGAAGCACACACACACACACCACTCATGAGCCCCCTTCCAGCTGGGGCTGCAAATTATACCTGCACTTTGCTGGCCTTCCTCTCGGGTGAAAGGCTTCCTGAAATCACATCCCTCGCTCACGACAGAAGGGATTAGTGCTTTTATTCCAGGGTGATCCTACACCCTCTTAAATGGAGCGCTGCCTGCATATGCACTGATGATCACATATAATTACATGCTCGTATCAGTGCATATGCTCTAAACGGGCATGAACTTGCCATCTCGGTGCTCCCAGGCTTCCAGTCAGCCCCGGCCCCAGGCTGGAACCACATTTTTTGAATGAAAAGCCAGCTCTGCCCACAATGCCCTTCCCTTGCCCCACCACAGCTGTCCCTCTGGCAGAGACACAGCACCACCACTGCACCTCCGCCTCCCCTCTCTCTCTGCCCAGCCCCAATGCTCCAATCAGCCCCTGGTGTATTTTGCCCCAAACCGGTCTCAGCTGTGGATGGCAAGGATGAGAAGAAGCAGGACTGGCAATCATGTAGCCTGGAGAAATAGCTCCAGGCTTCAAATAATGGCGTGCCTCAGTTTCCCTAAGCTGAGCTGCTGCTGCTCGTGTGCTCACAGGGAAGGCAGAAAGTACTTTTCCCTGTGCCTGACTGGGGAAAGGCCTGATACACCACAAGCCTTTCTATCTTAAACACAGACATTAAACACACACAGTGTCTTTGGCCCCATAGTGCTTCAGGGACTAAGCAGCCCAGCCCTGAATCCTGGGGATGCTGCAACTCACACTACTGCCAGCAGCCCCCTGAAAATCACCAGTTCATAGTGGGAACTGGGAGGATTGGCTGACTTTCCTTGCTGCAGCTTGCAGTCCTACTGATATCATTACTGACCCCAAAATTATCCAGTTCCCCTGCAATTTGACTTGTCATAAGTCACAATTTGTTCTATGCTCTGACAGGGGAAATCCCATTCCCTGCACTGGCTCTTGTTTTGAGCCATCTTTCAAATGACGGCATACAGGACAGGGAGAAAAGTTTGCACACCCCTTGCTATATCCATCAGTGTATGAATATGCAAGAAAAATCACCTCTGATTCTTTAAGCTAAATCAGCTTTATTTTTGCCGGTGCTTGCTCTAACAATATCCTGCAGTAATGCCAGCAAGCCTCCTTTCCCTTCTCTAGACCCTTTCAATCTTCTCTAATCCAGCCTGAAGGATGTAGGATTTTAAATGATAGGTCTCTGGTGTAAATGTTGGTGTTCTGCTAAGACTTCATCACAATGATTTCATTGCATTTCCTTTGGAGAGTTTGACTGAATTTTGCTTTTGAACCAGATGTTGTCTGGGCCCCTGGTACTTTGCAAAGCTTTTTCAATTTGCTGAATTAAATCTACATCTGATTCATAGCTCTGATCTCTTTCTTGCTCTCCTACTACAAAACAGAAGGTGGGATTTTCAAAAGCAGCCAGTCCTTCCTGAACGTGGGTTGTTTTTAAAAATCCCATTCATAATTACTATTGCTTACAGTTTTCCACCCCAGAAGCCCCATATTACTCGGTACCTGTAACAAAACTTGTCACCTGAAACTAAGCCATTCTAAAGATTTATGCAATGCATATTGAGCATGCACACTCTTTGAGTTCTGTTTCATACAGCAACTTTCTTTTATTCTTTTTATGAGGTGGCTCTCCCATTCCCATCAGTAGCGTGTGCACACACCAAAGCAGGGGAGAAATGCTCATTTGATGAGAAAGTGTGCATGGCAGATGATCTCCACGACTGTGCTCTGTGCATGGAAAGCCTGATTTCACACAATCCACTTGTCTGCACAATACACACGCAAAACTATGGACTAAAGAAATAACAACTCACTGCGTGCCCATTTTGTTAACTACAAAGAGCTCTACACAGCATGCTAAGTAGTCCCGCCCTGCCCAAGCCCTCCATCCCACAGGATGGACAATAGGACAAGACTTCACGTTACGTCTGGCTCCACAAACAGCTTTACCTCCCATGCATGCCATGGACACAATTAGCCCAGAACAGGAGCACTGTATCCTTTAAGCAAAACTCAAAGCCCAGCTCTCTCCTGATCCCTCTTTTTCCACTGGCAAAGCAGTGAGGTTCAACAGTGATCCAAAGGTGAGGGATGCTCAGAAGAGAAAATCTCATTTACACAGGTAGCCCCTGCCTCCTGATGGTTGGTTCTTGCAGATATGACTGAGATATGAGCGATGTTGCCATCGTTTGGGCTTGGTTGGGATTGAGCCTGCCACAAGGGAGAAGGAAAAAAAAAACAACCAACAATACCTTTGCTGGAAAAAGAAGTAAACTTCAGCTATTCTAGGGAAACAAGATAACCATTCGGATTTTCTCTTCTCTGTACAGAGAAGCAGATGTTCAAGTTTCACCCTGATATAAAAGGCCAAGTTGAAGGCAGAAACATCTCAGGATAGCTGGTAAAACCTCTGCATGAGCATAACCAATCCCCTGAACTCCTAGACCAGCTCAGCTGCAAACTGGATCATCTCCGCACCCTCAGGCCTTACATGGCTTTTGGAAAAAGGGTATCTGAATTTGGTGACCAATCCCAGTAAACTGATGTTTAAGCCTCTGCTACAAGCAGTAGGGAGAAAAGGAGCTTTTACCTGGCTCGTTCCCAGAAGAGCCGGGGACACAGGCTGTGTCCCTGAGCCTGGTGGCAGGGTATTTGTGTGTCCCCTGCCCACAGGCTCCATCCCAGGATCACCTCCATCAGCTTTGTCCTGCTCGCTGCCCTAGACCAGAGCTGAAGGTGCCCAGCATGCCACCGATGGGGAATATCTGGCCTTTCACTGGGACTTTGCAGCAGAGGGAAGAGCAGCTCACGGGGCCGCTGCGGGGCCTGCAAGGGGAAGTGCCCTTCTCTCAGCTGGCTCGTGTGCCTGTGACTGCCACCACGGAAAGGTCACCACTGACGGAGGGTGGCTGTGGTGTCCCAGGCTCTGCAGCTCCTCCAGCCACCAAGAGTGTTCCTCTCCCCTCCCTGACGGGCTCTGCAGTGCGCCTTGCTCAGCCGAGCAGCTTTCGCTCCCTGGTCTGACAGCCCTGCAGTGGGAAAGGACACTTGCCATCCTTACCCTTCCTCTCTGACAGCTCCATCGCAGCCCTGACGTACCTCAGACAGCTCAGAAGCAGATAACAACAAAAGCCATCCAAAAGCCTGTCGTAGAAATCAACCGCCTTCATTAAATGCCTCCTGGAGCTGGCAGCAAGAAGCCACTCTGCAAACCCCAAAGCTCCAGGACCGGTACCAAGCCACAGCACAGTTCAACCTCAGCCCCCGCATTAGATAAATCTGCGGAAAGAGCTCTTTAATTTAGACCTCAGTGGTGCTTTCAGCAGACCAAGCGATGCTTTCAGTTTGTAATGGCATGGGTAACATCCTTCTCCCTGTGTGCCTGCAGGTCAGACAGGGCCTGGCAGGGACCATCTCCAGCAGCACCGAACCATGCTTTCCTGACACCAAGAGCCCTCAGATGGTGCCAGTCTGGGCTCTCCTTTAAACACACACTGAAAAATAATCACTGTTTTTAAA